ATGTATCCGCCTTCTTCGAGCAGCAGTTGTTGCCCGAGCTCTCTCAAGCAATACCTTCGGAAAGGGAGGCTAGTCGTGCGGTATTGAGAGCCAGCATTCTCAAGTACTGAAGACTGAGTGGCCCATTTTATCCATAGTTTCGAGTTTGTGCCGCGACCAGTTGCTCAAAGTGATCGTCTTACCGGTCAACAAAAGTTCATTGCAGGGTGGGAGAACCCAGGTGTGAGATCTTCCTTCATGATTCAAACCTTGAATTTCCAAGCAATTTTTTCATCAGGTCGATATCCTGAGATAATAGCACCTTCTGTACTTTCTCAAGTCTAGCGATACCATCAGAGGCTGCATGAATTCGAATTTCAAGAATTTAGGCTTCGGAAAGGTCACCTATGCCCCCCAAGAAGTCAAATTCTTGAGAATCCCCGGCCGGGCTTGGTTGAGATCCGATTGCGGGGATGCTGCTATCCGCTATACTAAAAACCACATCTGAGATTTGTTCAGAGGCCCGTATAGGGTCGAAAGAACGGTCAGTCATAGTTGCCGTAGCGATCTTTTGCATACCCAAATAAGGGTTATATGGGTCAGAGCATACAGCGGCTTCATCGTGTAGATCATTAATGAGCAAAACGAAATCTTCCTCTGTGCTTGAAGGACTCCTCACGGCATCCTCTGGTAAAACCAGCAAAAGTATCGGCTATATCTCCCACTGGAGTAGATTTATTGATCGTTTTCCATGCTCTCAGTCTGAGAGTCTCAGACACAGCAACCTTTCCATTGCAGTCAGAATTGGCATGACGCTGAGCCCCATTAGCAAACTGATCTGCAATGGTCCTTGGAGCTAGCAATATAAGTGATGCTGGATCAGCAACATTGCTGGATACCGACTGATACATACTGTTGTAGTTCCAGTTGAACTCATCTTCAAAGCCGTTGTGGGATAAGCAGATTATTGCTATCGAATACGAATGGGAAAAAACGGATGGATAGCTCAAACCCCTCGCGTCACGTCACGCGTCACGTCACGCGTGTTGTCACGGGACACGAGTAGGGCGAGCGATAAGACGAAAGGATGTTGAATGACAATTGTGGGGAAAAGTATGATAATCGTCGATCATCGGTCACTGTTCCTCATCATCACCCCTCCCCCTCGTTGGCACTGGCTAAAGAGAGCATCTTTAGTATGCGAACGGGGTACGGTTTTGCTTGGTGAGAGCGAAGCCAGTGGCAACGATGGAGTGGTAAGATAGGACTTGAGTAGAATTTGTTAAGGACCACCGTCCTGTATCGTCAACCTCCATAATACGAATCTCAAGTTCGGCCTTGGAGAGGTTGTTGGAGATGACGGTAGCACAGTCATCGAAGTGCTCAAGGTCGAAGGACTCGATCTCGTGGATTATGAGGTCACCAGCAGTCAGGTGGTCTTTTGCGACAGTCAGTAGCTTCTGCTCATATAGGACGCTGCTAGCTCTATTGATCGAGCTGTCTTGCTGTAGGCCACGACGTATAATAGGATCTAGAGTTAGAGGACGTAGTTGATGGACAGGTAGGCGGTCCGTCGTGCCACGGACTTTGTAATGATTTTGCCCGGCAGGACCAATGATCTCGTAGGGGCCTGTAACCTCGGTAGAGTGCCCTCCTGGCCGTTCTATTGGGACGACACGTAACACTTTATCTCCAGGATCATAGGAACGTTGTAATGAGCCGACTCGATAGCGATCATTCCGCTTTGTGAGCTCTATGTCACGAGTGACAGACCAAAGATCGTGGGCATCTTGTAAACGTCGTTGGAGGTCATCGAGGTAGGCGTGGGGGGAGTCGATGTGACCGAAAGAAGCTCCGTGCCTGTTGCCAATATATATATCGGGAGCAGACCGACCAAAGAGTAGTTCATAGGGGGTCAAGTCGTAGTAGGCAGGGATGTAGGGTGGAGGAGATGTGTTGTGGACGAAACTAACCACTGGTAGAGCATCTTTCCAGTCTTCTCTTGCCAGGAGGTAAGGCTGGAGCAGGCGTAGAGACGTTTTAAGTTCTCGAACTGCTCGTTCTGCTGCTCCCTGTACTCGCGGGTTTTTGCTTGCCGGGTAAGTGTGGCAGATCCCAAATCGGCTCTCGAAGTGGGAAATCACGGAGCTCGTGAAGTGGGACCCGCGATCAGAGTGCACGAAGTCAGGCGCTCCATGTATAATGACAACATGATTCCATAAGGCACCGACAGCGGCAGCAGAAGAGTTACCGACCGTAGGGCAGAGGAACATCCACCGAGTAAAAATGTCGATGACAACAAGGCAGTAGTCACATCCGGTCGAGTCGTCGCCACGGACTGGAAACGGGCCGCAGAAATCGATGACAAGTCCTTCCATAGGTCGTGAGGCTCGCAGCATCGTGGAGGATAGGTCTCCGGTGTGGGGCTGTAGGACCACTTTTCCAATTTGGCAGCGTAGGCAGGTCCGAGCATAGTGAGCTGCATCTCGCAGAATGGTGGGCCACCAGAAGTTGCGAGCTAGGGTAACAGCTAGTCTAAAGCCTCCACGGTGGCAACCGGCCAGCGTATCGTGGTATTTGTTGAATAGCCATGACCTGAACGAAGGAGCTTCAGCGGATTGTGTAGCGGTTTTTAGAAGCACACTCGAGTAGGACGGTATATAGAGCTTGAGGGAATTGGCTGATTGGAACCACAGTAGGTCATTGATTATGCAAAAACGGGGGGCCAATCGTTGTAGTAGTATACAGGAGGGCTGTAGTTGCGACCCATGCTCGATGAAGTTGATGACATTGGCGATCGGTAGGTGTAGATAAGAAGATACAGTATCCTGCTTTTGCGCATCCGATAGCTCAGCGAGGATATCGGGAGAGACTTTCTGGAGGAAGGCGATGATAGACTCGGTACCCTGTGTGTCCAACAGGTTGAAGTTGTCAGGGGAAGACTCATGGTCAGACTCATCGTGGCTGTGGTCGGAAGTTGTAGAAGAGTCGTCGTCTGTTGGGACCGGGAGGGTATCATGAATGTCAAGTCGCAGGTCATATCCAACTGTATTGTTTGTGGCTACTAGTGCAGGACCTTCGCATAGTAAACGTGCAAAATGGTCAGCGAGTTGTGGTAGTCCTGAGCGTCGACACCAGACAAGATAGTGTACCGATCTATGATAGAGTTCAATAAGGCGCATCCATTTCCCACCAAAGTCGGAATCGATGCTGCTCCAGTGTCGGCCAGAGTTGGCGTTATCGGATACGATGATGGTAGGGAACCTGAGATATGCTCGCGCTTCCTCTAGGCATAGAAGTTGAGAGGCACGTTCTCTCCAAGTGGAACTTTGACGCGAAGAGGTGTCGGACCAGGATCCAGCCATAATTTTGAGAGGTAAGAGACGAAGGCAGTTGTTGTCGGAGAAACCTGGGTGAGGCAGGGCTCGTAGAGCTAGCACAATCTCAGAAGTAGCCTCGTGGAATAATTGGTCTCCTTGGTCATCAGCCGTATCCGAATAAGTCGAGGAATCATAGCGGGTAGATTCAATACGGAAACACACACCGCACCAGCCAGTAGCATTGGCATCAACTACAAGTAGAACCCCAGTCGTGCTGGAGCCGCCAAGACCAAAATGTAGCGCGGGTAGTCGTCCACCGAAGACCATTTCAGTAAGGCGCGTGAAAGCCGTGCAGAGCGATTCGTCGTCAGTGATGGGTCGTGCGCCTTCCGCTTGTAGAGCTTTGATGCGAGCGAAAAATAGCTTCAAATTAGATACGCCTTCCGGAGCCAACCATCCACGATAATATTGGAATTTCCCCGCCCACGATCTCAACCACTTGAGTTGGCGAAGGGGAATGTTACGCTTGTAGTGGAAGAATTCATGTAATGCTGACTCCGCAAGTCCCTTGACGAGTTCTTGTTGAGAACCTTCTGATTTGTACGTAGGACCGTCGAGCACATATCCACAAAAACGTAATGACTTAGTAGCATAGGTTGATTTCTGGCGGTTCACGACGAAACCATAGCCTTCGAGGAAGTCGGAGAGGTCCTCAATGCATTGGATGAGAGTCTTCTCATCGGCGGCACCAAGTAAAAGGTCGTCTTGGTAGTGGTCGATGTGGACTCGTAATTTACACTGTGCCCTGAATAAGGATAGGAGATGAGATAAGGCACGGGTAAAAATGAGAGGAGAGTAGGTCCAACCCTGAGGAAGTCTACACAGTCGCCAGAGAAAGGAGTCGCCAAGAGAATTAAGATTGCCAGTGTCGTCCATGACAGTGCATGTAGTACGGAAACAGAATAGAGACCGAACGCGCTCGGGAATGGAGATGCTGTAGAAGGCATCGCTCAGGTCCAGGCGACCGTAGAAGGTAGTGGCAAAACTCGGCCAATTGTTGAGAATATCGATAGGTCCTTTGGTCTCTATTCTGCCTGACCTGTTTAAGGGCCGTTACATAGCAATGTGGATCAAGGTCATTAAACAACTGCACCGTTACTAGTAACCATAATGAGCTTTCCAATGCACGGCTCAAATAGTGGAACTCGTGAACGGCCGACCAATGTCGTCTACGAACAGTCTCAGTTACCTCAACCTTAAAAGCCGACAAAGAACGATCATCACCGAATCCAGTAAATGGTGTTTTTGTTAATGGTACCTTTTCCACTGCTCTCAGAATAGCAGCCAAGTCAGATTCTGACATCATCTTCTTATAACGGAAAGATTGACTCGGTTCCGCAGAAGGTAACAACAGGGCATCATAAGAAGTGGTGGCAGGAGCATCCCGCTCAACCTGTTCAACAGAATGGAAAGAACCATCCACAGGAGCAACCGGTGCAGAAGGAGGAGGAAAACGAAAGCGACTTGCCCGGAGTCTATCGCCAAAACCGGTCACAAAGATGCTATATTCTGCTGCATCATTGATCTGCCTTATTGCAACAAACTTCCCAAGACGGTAGGCTCGCTTAACATCTTCAGATGCCTCTATCGGGATAGCTGCCTCAGTAAGCTTATCAAGCAAGGCAGGGAAGACGATCGAGGAGTATAGCATAAAAGCATTGATGGCCTTCATGGCAAAATCTGAATCAGACGGAGAGCCAACAACCAAAGTTATAGCACGCTTCAATCCGCTTCTCAGTAAAGTTTCCAACTCGAAGGTTTGTGGAGGTCAGTTGGAGCAAGAACAATTGCTTGATACTATGATTGACTTGAAGCAGGGAAGTAGTGAGAATCTTTCAAGTTTTCTTGGAAGAGTTACACGTTTCCGCTCTCAGTGTCAAGCGAGTGGTGCAATGCAATTACACAGCGACTCTTACTTTATGATGTTGAGCCGCCGTGGTATGTCGTCAGTGGCTGTATCGTCTCAAGCTGCTTCTATTACATGTGAGTCGTGGATTGAGTGCGTTCGACAAGTTATTATGATTGCTCAACGCTTGTCTCCTAGCACGTCTGCCTCTTCACCGAAAGTCCCTGAAAAGTCACGGAATACTACAACGCCGGAGGTGCAACAGGTGGCGACTGTACGAGCTATGGACTTCAATGCCCGTCAAGATGCTTCACAGTTACCAAGTGCTCCAGCGAAGCAGAGTTCCGGACATCAACCCCAACGGAAATCTGGCCAACATGGCTTCAAGAAATGCTTCACGTGTGGTAAAGGTGACCATTTAACGAAGCAATGTCCGCTGAGGAGATGCTGGAATTGTCTCAGTGTTGGTCATTCGGCATCTGAATGTCCAAAGTCCGCCCCTACTATTACCACTACTGCCAAGACCGATTCTAGAGCGGAGGCAGTGAGGACGGTTGGGTCGACAGAGGCGACAGTTCAGAGTGTTGATCAAGGTGAGACTGTTATTCTTCCATCACGCAGTGTTGTCATTCGTGCGTGGGGTGATGGTGACAAATTGGATGGTGGAATATTGACTGCGACTTATGGTGGGAAAATTGTATTGAGGGGCTTGGTGGATACTGGTGCTACCGATGCCCTGTTATCGAGGACTGTATATGATCAGATTCGTGAGCATTGCCCTGGAGTTGCACCACTGATACCGTGCCATGCTACGGCTTTACTAGCTAATGGCACTACTGAGGAGGTCGAAGGCATAGTGAAGCTTGACCTCATTTTCTGTGATCGGGTCATCACACATGAATTCTATGTTATTAGGGAACTGCAACCGGGTATTATTTGGGGTCTACGTCTGTTGGGACGTGTCGGAGTCACAATTGATATAGGTGACTCGACCAAGGGACTGTGTATTACTACTCGGGTGAAGAGTCTACCGAAGGAAGAGAGCCTTGATGTTACCGAACCTGGAATCATTGCCAACGTACATGCTGACTCCAAGGAGATTGCGGTTCGTAGAGTGAGTGGTGTATGTTGTGCTCTTTCCTTGGAAGAAGCGGCCCCTCTCCTAGGTGATACTAGTGATGATCCACTTACGAGTCCGCTTGACACTGCTGTTGTACGTTCTTTCGCTTCTCCGAGTTGTGAGGAAATGGAGTTCGACTGGCGGCCGATACCGGCAGCACCAGAATATGATTATCGGGTAAGGCATGCCAAGGAGACTGACATCCTCGACTTGCCGGGCGAACAGGAGTATGTTTGTGAAATCAGATGGCCTCCTTTGAAGTCCCATATTGGTGGTGTTCAAGCAGACTATGGTAAAGCCATGATTGCTCGATTAAGTGAGAGTCAGAGGGATCTATTGGAGAAGGAGGTAGCCAACTATCTTGCGCATCGTTGGTGGGAACGCTCTCCACCACCTGATGCTGCTGGCTCTACCCCTTCCACTGATCCTAGTATCATAGTTTTTCCGCTTCAGCAATCTTTACTGAAGTCGACGAAGCTTAGACCCGTATGCGATGCGAGGGGGTGGAATAACCTCCTCCCCCAAGCTTCGTATCTAGGGTCTGATACTACAGTGTTGCTCACAGAGATGCAGTTGGCTGTTAATAAGCTGTTACTGGATGGTTATCCAATGAGTGAGATTGCCATTGGATACCTTGATGTAAATCGTGCGTTCTACCGCATCCATCTAGATGCGGATTTGAAGCTACGACTTTCTTTGAGTGGTACTGAGTATATCAGCCGAAGGCTGATATTTGGACTCGCGGTGGGTCCAAGTGCTCTGGAATCCTTTATGAGGCGATTAATTGATTTAATGTATGCACGGGGAGTTTCATATCGAGTCCTAGAACAACGAAATGGCCGAGAGGTTCTTACCCGAGTGACAATGACTGTTGGTACTCCTTATACTGAAGGTCGATCAGTACTTGTACACCCCTGGGATGATCGGGAGAAGACTGATTCTATTATTGTGAAGTGTCATGAGGAGGTTGGTCATCTTTCAGCACCAATGACTCTCTGGCATTTACGGCGTTTTTGGTGGTGGAAAGGCATTCGAACTGATACTAAACGTGTTTGTATGCTATGTGACCACTGTATTTCAGCTGTTATCAAGGGATCTATGCACGTATGGAAGGGCAATTGCCTAGATCACTCGGTGAGATCCCCTTGGGAGACTGTGTCAGCAGATCTTGCGGGTCCATTTACGGCAGACAGCTTTAATTGTATTTATTGTCTGATATTATATGATCACTTCTCTCGTTTCTGTTTGTTACGTCCCCTTCGATCAGCCACGAGCAGAGAGGTTATAAGAGCTATTACCGAGATTTGTGGTACTTTTGGTAGTATGCGTGTTTTACGATGTGATCGAGGAACTTGCTTTGCATCGCGGATGACGCAGTCCAGTCTACAAGCTTTGGGAATACATGTTCGATTGATAGTTCCTCGAGCTCCGTGGTGTAATGGTTTGGTTGAACGACGAGTACAAGAATTGAAGGTGTGTTTACGAGGTTATGGATTGTCTAAGTCTCGCTCATGGAGTACTAAATTGGCTAGTGCTACCAAGAGGATGAATAGTGTTATCTTACCTGATCTTGGTATTACACCATTTGACATTATGTTTAATCGGTCTATGTATCTGGGATCTGTGGTTCCCCCTGTTAGTTCCGATTCGAATGTCGATGATGCTGAGCAAGAGTTGCCTACCTTGGATGAGCTGAAGTCTAAAGAGGAAGGTGTGTTATTGCAGCGTGATTGGATTGGTCAAGTTAGAGATGATCGAGAACAATCGGTAGGAGATCAGAGGCCACCCCGAGCTCTATCTATAGGTCAAAAGGTGCTTGTTAAGATGACTGATGGTTGGAGAGGACCGTGGAAAGTTTTAATTGTTCACAACGATAATGCTCGTGTTACTATCGTTGATAAATTTGGCGTTGAACGAGATGAACATCGTGCCAATCTAAGAGTTTATTATGGGACGTCCGAAGTCCAAGCTTTTTGATTAGTTTATTAACTTTGGTTGCGGGTAGCAACCAGGGGGAGATGTGAGGAAATATTGTACACAAGTGTCTCCTGTAATTTAAGATTCTTGTGATACTAGTCTCTCTTGCTAGCCTAGCGTATACTCTATGATTACTGTATTGATCATTAGTTAAGAACCACTTGTTTATAACTCTTGTTGAGTTATCTAATCCTAACATTCACCAACGACATACTTTGACACTCGAGGCTTCCCCATCGGTAAACTACCGATGAGGAGCCCGTCGCAACCCATCCATTACCGACGGTAATGGATGGGTTGCGACGGGCTCTGCTGAGGGCCTCAAGTCCTCACTCACATTGGAGAGAACTGACGAAAAAACAGATGGAAGTTTCACCTTGGATTAAGACGATCCTTTTCTCGAATCGGTGCAGCCCGTCGGGGACGGAGTTCAACAAAATGATGTATGGATCGGAGATGTATACACAAGAGGGAGGGATGAATTCTACATCTAGTTTAGAATATCACTCGCTGGATTTGGTACAGTTCATAAACGACGAAGCTCCCAAAAATCACGGGTGGTTTGCAAGCTTACTCAATGAATCTGATGGGTTTTAACTCATTCTCCTGATTCAGGCTTATTCAGGAGTCCTGAAGAAGTCTTCTCTCGGATTGTGTATCCCGAAAATCATTGCTGAGCTCGAACCGCATTCGTTGTGGTGAGAAGGGATGCGCAAGTTGCTCCTCGATGTTCTAAGTTATTCAGCACTCTAGACGAGGTACGGCGGCTCTGACGTCGATATATGACGTCAATAGCAGTCCCTTAGTAAGTTACTTACCACCATCAATTATTCTGATCTTAGAAATGCATTCTTCCATGACCGATTATGAATTGTGTGAATTGCTCTATGGTGACAAGTTTGCGATGGAAGTTAGAATTGCTGGAGAGAGCAGCTCTACAGCCTCCCCTAGCTTATTCCTAATCCATTTCGAGATTGTCATCATTAGCGATCAAAATATGTCAATTCACGGTAACCTCATGTCTTTGATGATACATCAATTACTCAGAGATTTACAAGCGTTCCAATGGCATTCATGCCAGCCTAGATGTGTTGCTCCTCTCATGTTTACTCCGGTCCTCGTCAGGCCAACCTGTTTCCGACAGGGTGTCGGTGATGATAGAATCAGATGCTTCTTCACCATAGCAGTCGCGAGTTTCCGTGAAACTACAACGGGAAATGAACAGGTTCATTCCGAGAATGCTCCATTGGAATAAACCTGCGGAAGGGGCTTATAATGAAGTAAACGAACACGCCCGCCGCGATAATCGCGGCGCGACCGCATGGATCGCATGGATCGCGCGTCGGATAGTATCCGAGATCCCCGACGTGATTTGCAAGTTGGGTGATATACAAAACCCGAGGAAGAACGACAAAATCCAAGAAAGACAAGTTTAGGGGTAAACCCGAAACCCCACCCGAAACCCGAACTGTTATACAGATGAAAGCTATTCTCAAAGCAACCAGAAACCCGAGCTGTTATACGAGTGAAAGCTGCAACCAAAGGCAACCAGAAACCCGAACTTCTGAGAGCGAGCGACAAACCTCCTTGAATTTTGTCGTTCTGCCTTGGATTTTGTCGTTCTTCCTTGGATTTTGTCGTTCTTCCTTGGATTTTGTAATTCACCCTTTGCCAGTTCGTCTGGCGTTCATGACGAGCGGGCATGCCTCGGCTCCGACTCGGTCGAGGCTTGGAGCATTATCATGGAGCCGATGGTTGCCGCTATTACTGATAACAACTCCTCACTCCGACAGGCAGCCGCCTATGGCGCTCCATACGACCGGGTCCTCGTCTAACTGTCTATGCACTCTCTGTCGCGTCTCATGAGATGAACGAATTCACGGACAGTCACTGGCTGTCAGCCAGGAGGCGAGACCTCTTATCCATGTCCGTTATGGAGCTGCACTGCCAATTTACTTCCATCTTTCTTCTCTTCACCTCAGAGATCACCGCATACCTCTCAGAGATCCATCTCGTGATCAATGCGTTCCATACAACGGTTTTATTGAACGTATTGATGACCGGTCGTATTACAACTGGAGACAACATTGCTAGGTGGCGGGGACATCACCCATGTAAATGGAAACAGCCCTCAAGGAGTCCTGGCAAGGACGAGGCAACGATTTCTCTCGTTCGAAACACCGCGTCCAGACTAGTGACAGCCCTCTCACCCAAGGTGAGGTGAGCGCATGAAAACGGGTTTCTACTGTAACGACATTGCAGCAATGACCTTGCTCATTTCAAAGTGGTTATCCGTCCATCATGATAGCTTGTGAACGAGAAGACGATGATCCCAGCGTTGGTTTGTATCCTGATTGACTTGGATGAAACGAAGAGACTGCAGAACAGCGAAACCCACTTGTCAAACGTCATAGTAAGCATATACCAATTTCCGATACCGCTCCTTTTCCTCATCGTCAGCCCAACAATGGTCGATGGCGGCGATCGTAACCATACTTCCAACTTTGTGGGCATCAAAATGGAAACGGTCCACCAAGATGGACAGTTCTCTCGTGAGATCGGTGGAGAAGACCGGACCGCCATCAGTGCTGATGCTGACACTAAGACCATCCTCAATGAACTTCTTGATGGGATGCCTGTTCCAGTCTAAACTGTCTAGAATTGGCTTCTCTGGATGCACTTGGGGTAGACAGACGGCCTCCGTGCAGATACTAGAAGTAGGACAGGCCTCAATGTGCGCGCCTGAGTCTTTGGCCTGTTGATACAACTTCTCATCGACATGCGGTTGGTCGTGTATTCGATACCCATGGCCGATCCTTTCTGCTAAGTATCTGCGAGAAAGCCTGTACAACTATGCATTGACGCCCACTGCCATCCACTCAGTCACAGCACAGCAGAAGTTCCTCCCGGGTCCATCCTCAGCTGCATGAATCGTCACATGGAGACCTGCCGCTTTTGCTCGTCGACCTGAGAGACTTCACACACTGCAATCGAAGTCAGCAAACTCTACACGCTTTTATGTGGGCTTCTCGAAGATCCGCTCTGTTGAAGTGCAGCTCACCCGATGCTACATCGATCCCCACTACTCCCGAGCTTTTGAATCTAAGACAGATAATCCGACTGATTTGAAGCAAGTCGTTACTACTCTATTGCGAGGTCAGCGATGTCTGCGCTCATCTCAGGATTCCTGTTCATACAGCACAATATCTGCTTCACATTGATGCCGAACTCGTCCATACCCCGTCTCAAACCGGCCGCTGAAAGCAGGGTTTGCCCTTTGGGCACGGGCGGAAATTTCCGAAGGAAATTTTCGAGAAAATTTCAGAAATTTCCGTTGAGGCTGGAAATTCTTGGAAATTTGCTAAAAATGCCCAAAAAATCGTGCCCAGGGTAGTAGAGAGGAGAGATGTAGCTCAGATTCATTCATAATGGCCGAATAAAGCTAGTGAAGGCGTTCGCAGGTGTCTACTGGTCACTATGAATACATCTTGCGGTTACCCTCAGATATCGATCAGGTGGGCGTGCGCGTGAGCCTCTCAAGAGTTAGCGATTCTCCAACTATCTTGCAATCTTGCGTTCTCTCTCTCGAGAGTCGAATAGTGTCGGCGTAGCTCCAGTTATTTTCACGGTTGGCGCTATCGACCTATTTGGCTGTAGTCCAGTGGACTAAGTCCACCATATCTTGCGTTCTATCGAGTACATCTTCGGCGGTAATCTTCGCATTCACACGTTAGCTGATCACTTTCTCCCGTAATTCAGAATGATTATGGTGGATGAAAAACGAGATAAAATATCTCATTTCCCCTCTAAGAGCTCAAGCTTTTGCTCACGTTCGACCCAGAACAGTAGACTCAGTTACCTAGGATACAAACTGAAGCAGAACTCGGCCAGCCTCGGCCAGACTCGTATAACACCCTAAGATGACATGGCTACTATAGCGGGCCGAAGGGCCGCGATTTCTCTGGTTCAAACCACCCTATTTGGCATGACATACGTTGGGCCCGGAAGTGGCATACGTTGGGTCCGGTGGGCATACCTGGCTGATCGCATGTCTCGCGCGCCCGCATGGCGTGCGAGATTTACACGGAAATTTCCATTTCCACCGTTTCCGAAATTTTCCGTGATAAAATTTCCTTTCCGCGAAATTTTGACGCTTGCCCGCCCAAAGGGCAAACCCTGGCTGAAAGACACGAAACGTTTTCCTCCAAGACGATCCCGATGTACAACTCGACCGCTCAGTTGCACACTCGAGAGGCTCCTTGCCTACCGACGGCTTCTATAACGCTCCTCGGATTCGGCAGAGTTGACCCTTCTTCACTCAAGATGTGCGGATTGTACCTTAGCTAGCCAGAATGCTCAGCGCAAAAAATCCAATCCTAGGAATTTCTGCCACCACACGTACATGTGGAGTAAGATAATAAGAAGACGCGAGCTAAGATCTTCAACATACCCGTTTGGTAATACCTGACTTCCGTATACACGATATTCTGTCCCGCTTGATCTCGACAGAATCGGTACGACATCTCCTCTAAGACATCCTTCTTCCCTCTGACAATCGGTAGAAAAACCCCAAAGCAGTCGAGCATACACGCCAGGCCAGCACCGCGGCACCCTACAGATGAAGCAGTGGCCAGGCATCGAACCTGGGATCCCCCGCAAATTATCGAAAGATCAGTCCCAAGAAAAGCGATACCTTAAATACGATTCCAAGTCCCAAATTGAAAACGCATTCTACCGACTAGAATGAAGAGCGGGATAGAAAAACTGAGCGTTGCCCGTTCAGAGGTTTCCACTATTATCTCTATCGAGCTGCCCAGCAACAACGTCCTCAGCCCTCATCTTCACAATTCGAGAGAATTCATCGAAGCACCCACACTCCGCGATCTGCTCTCTCACGCGCACACTTCCGCCACGCCATGGTGCTGGTTCCTACAAGAATCAGCTCGAATGGCAGCTAATATACTGTATTTATACACGTCGGCGATGAGATAGTGTGAGATTTCAGTTCGATTAGCTTCGACAGATGCAGCAGGATGCTGATCGATGCACACACGAACTCTGACATCTATCGACAGTCCCATAGGGAAATTCATAGGCACTTCCATCAAGGAAGCGGCTGATCCTTTCGATCCGACTCGCAAAGCCTCACTGAGATTAACTCCAACGTAGAAAGCTGAATTGGGCATACCTCAACTGGGAGCGACGCGAGGTCTCTTTGAGCGATCTCGTACAGGAGACGGGTATCGAAGGCCGCATCCAAATGGACGTGAAGCTCCACCTTCGGGGCGGACTTGAAAAACTCATAAGCGGATATCATCAACTGTGACAATCAAAATCTCGCAATAGGCTGGTAAATTCTTACAGGAGTGATTCGAGTCAGCGAACAAGATTGGTCCCTCGTGGGTACTTTAATAGTTAAAATGTTTTAAGAGAAAGAACTTGATAACGAACTGACTTTTTCCTAGTGGACTTGGTAACAGGAAAGAGCCGTGTGCATGGTTGATCAGGAACCTGTCCTGTGACCGAGACTCCATGGGGGAGACCTGCAAGTCTTCTCTTCTCTCCACAACACCTAGTTGACTAACTCTGTTGAGAGTTGCATGGACACGTATAGATGCCTAGTTTACCTGGAGGATCACTGAAGCCAAAATTGACATCACAACTCCACAGGGCATGAATTGCTGTCAAGAAAAATGCTTTCTGTACAACTATAAACAGAGATACCTTGCAAAGGAAGTACTGAATGAGACGTAACTCAGTCGCTATTCTCCTCAGTGGTAGATTCCTCCCCCTCGTAGTAGTTGACGGTCAGATCACGGTAACGGGACTTCTCCTTAGCAGACGCCCAGCAACGATCAATGGCGTTCATAGTAACCTGCATTCCGGCTTTATGGGCATCAAACCCAAAGCGGTCAGCCAGGATGGTGAGCTCATCCGTAATGTGAGTCAAAAACACAGTAGGATCGTCAGTGCTGATGCTCACACTAAGACCATCCTCAATGAACTTCTTGATGGGATGCCTGTTCCAGTCTAAACTGTCCAGGATGGGCTTCTCTGGATGCACTTGGGGTAGACAGACGGCCTCCGTGCAGATACTAGAAGTAGGACAGGCCTCAATGTGCGTGTGAGTTTCCTGAGCCATCTTATACATCGCAGGATCGGCAGCGATCTTGTAGGCGTGACCGACGCGTTCTGCATGGTACTCTCGAACAGCACAACAGAAGTTCGTCGACGAGCCGTCCTCAGCGCCGTGGACGGTGACACGAAGACCGGCCTTCTCAGCTTTCAAGCAGGCGGCTACGTGAGCTTTCTTGAGGTCCTCATTCTCGAAGTGCGTCTCGCCAGCAGCGACGTCAATAGCGACAACACCCTTGGACTTGAACTCAATAGCGAGATCGGCGACCTCGTCACTGACCTCAGGCATCAGATTCATACAACATAGGATCTGATTCATGTCGATACCAAAGACCTCCTTGCCGTGCTCGATACCAGCAGTAACAGCCTCAACGACACTTCGGGCGTCGGATAGAGAGGAACCCTCCTTAGTGAGGACATGCGGGTTGTAACGGAGTTCAGTATAGACGACGTTCTCACGGTACTGACGTTCGCAGACCTTAAAGGCCATCTTCTCGATAACGTCCCTCTTGCCTTGTACGACAGGAGTGAAGACGGCGAAGCAGTCGAGCATACAAGCCAGACCGGCACCCTTCTGGCCGCCGTTCTGAAGTCGCTTAGCAACAACAGCCTCGGGACCAAGGCAGGTAATCTTCTCGAAGTCCTCCTTGGACTTGCAAGCCGCTATAGCAGAGCGGACGGTAACAGTAGCGTTAGGGCCGTTCCAAGGGGCGGGGACGGTCTCGGGTAGCTGGTCGAGGTCACGCTTGGCGATTTGGTAGAGGAAGTCAATGTCGAAGGCACCATCGAAGTGGATGTGGAGCTCTACCTTAGGGGCCGAGTAGAAGAAGTTATATGCACTTGAATTGGGCATAGTTGATGAATAGATAACAACTGAACCGAGGGGAAGTGATGATGAATCGAACTTAATCGATTTTACAGAAATGTGCCCCCAAGGGACCTGTTTTGAATCTTACCACCTCGAACCTTGGATACCTCAGAGTAAGCGCGCGGAGCATTCCGCTTTAGAGTTCAGGCTGACGAATTGTCAACATTGATCGTGTAGCCTGCCATTTCTTGGCTTTAGTAGTTTTAGGGCGCGCGCTAAATGTTCGGCGACGATATCTCGACTGGGGATTTTTTTGGTTCGCCGCGCGGCATGGGCCTCTCTGAGCGGCACTGACGTGCCCTTCCGTCGGCACTGTCGGGACTTTGAGTGTGAGTGACGAATGAGTCATGAAATTACGAGCTGTGAAGGGACGCAACCCGTCTCTCTGGGGGACGCAGTCTCTACTGCTGGGGAGTCTCTCGGGAATCTTAGGTTGAACGTGTAAGATTCAGAATAGGTCCAGTTGGTGCCTTTTCAGCTTCTTGTGATCTGTTGTCGGATCCGCTCCGACTTGTTATAATTGTGGTATATGCTGTTATGGTCCAAAATGGAGTCTTCAACAACCGTCAACCTACCCAAACTGTTGTAGTACCTCGCGAGCCTCCACGCCGCCAGAACGAACCTCACCGACCCTCCTCGTCATCGTCATGGAAGCTCTTCCGTTCCCGGCCGCCTCGACGACGGCTCAGAGTCATCAGGAGGGTCGGTACGGCGGACACCAAGGAGGAGGGGGGCTACGCTAGCGAAGACTCATGTCGAAGGGGAGATGAACACTGTGAGAGTTGTGGAGAAGATGGTACGCGCATGGCTTTGAAGGATGGTGATGCTGCTGAGGAGTGGGAGCCACGATGGGATGAAGAGGAGGAAGATGATGATGATAGCGAATTGAGCTGTTGTGAATCTTTCCCGAGTGACGATGTGGCCTACGATAGCGATTTTGGGTCTGCGGAATCGGAAACGGCAGCGGTGGGCAGACGGGAGTTGCCTCTGCTGCCTTCTAGACACCGGTTGTGGATAACTGAGGAGAGTTCGATCCAGTCAAGTCGCAGTTTATTGTCATCTGTGCGGCCTTTGTTGTCGCAGCCCTCGACGCCTGAAAGAGACATAACTGGGGCCGAGGTTCAATGGGCGTTAAGGAGGCATCCAGGCAATAGGGCTGCTACCGACCCTCAGGGTATACCATGGGAGAGGTATTAGTAGTAGTAGTAGTAGTGATGAAGGTCCGACATTCAAATGTGTGGGTAGGTTTGCGATAAATCGGTTCGACTATCGCGAGCGTCGAGTACAAGATTTCTCAAACTATAATAATGTGACATGGAACGATGCTTTAGAGAAGAGGAGGAAGCATGCCATAACGGAGGTATCTTGAGGTTGAGCGCACAAGATACGGAACAGGTCCACTGTCAGATGGAACGTGTGGACCTGTGTTATTATCGTTTCTGTCGAAGCTACCGTGGTGAGCCCTCCGTGTGGAGACTCAATCCCACGGTTGATCATTTCCAACTACGTCACCTCACAGTGCCGACTGCCAACAGTAAGCATCCTATATCTAGTCATCTCTACAGCGGAGAGGTGTTTGCCTCCTTAGATGTTGTTTATGTTGTGTGTAACTCTACGTTGTATCGTTTTGATACTCTGACGGGCGCCGCTGAGACGATACATTCCCAGCCGGTTCACACTCTGTCGAGTATTGATGTTAATCGGGGCTTTGCGGTTTCGGGAGGATTCGACTCGACAGTGATCGTATCGAGAACACATGATGCTGGAGAGGTAGTTGGTCGGAGGAAGTATCCGAGGTTGTCTGGTGGAAGATACGGATTAGGTCGAATTTTTGCAGGTGCTGAGAGCGCGTATGAGCGACGCGAATAATAACATTACTAACTACTCTTTGATTCTCCCGACTAACGGGTATTTTTCTCCGGAAGTGTCCAAGGATGAGAAGCCTCTCCAACGGTGAGAGTATTGATGTGATAGTGACAGCAGTGGTCGACTTAGGCGGATATTTGGTGGTACTTCGGTGGATGGGGAACCTTCGATCGGCTGTGGGGAAGGAGGTTATGGCTTTGATGATGTATTCATGACGCCACTGGGAGAGGAGGAGGAGGAGCATGTTGGAAGTAGCGAGAGGAGGTACCCAAGGATGGACCTGGACGGCACTATCTTTGAAGAACACTTGTTGAGAAAGTTCTCAAATAGTGTAGGTGGGGATGGTAGTGGTTTGGCTATGCGTTGGTACCGGGTTCGAATCTATGTGGGTGCATTTTATTCCTTCACAGGTTTACAACCAATTCCTCGATAGTCAGGAGTTCTACAGGATGGGCTGTGATCCCCTGCATCTGATAGTTGCCAACAACGACCGAGTCCTGCGCGATATCGACGTCACACAAGGAGGAGCTGTCGTCTCTGAGGCCACGTACTACCAAGGGCACCACCCTACATCGCACTAGAGCGTCTTGTTCTTGGTAAAGGTGGAGGCTTGAACTTATATAGTCTATGATGAAGAGAATCGTCGACTCGTCTCTAGTGGTGTGCTTAGTGTATGGAAGAGGATGAAGAATTTTAGAGTCTGAGAGCGAGCAATTTCGGATGGTTTTTGGTATGTTTGTAGGTACTCCTGGTCGGTGAATCACGTCTCTGTGAACCCTCGAGACTCCCGCGTGTTGTGCGCCTCGGGAGACGACAAGGCTGTTATAATATCGGACCGTCGGAATTCGTCTAAGTTGCAGAGAGCGATGGTGTTGAAGGGCCATCTGGACTACGGCTTTTGTTCTACATGGCATCCAGATGGCAATCTATTGGCCACTGGAAATCAGGTAGGGAATCACAGATGTGGTTGGGGGAGGGAGGGTTGCGTCTACATCAAGGATAGACGAAGACTCTCTCTGCTGTTTCCCAGTATCTATTTCGAATCAATTCACTCGTGATATGAAAAAAATACTAGTAAAAAATATATATTTCACAAACCACTCCATAGTGGTTTTACCGCATTTCACGTGAAACGGATGGAACTCCACTAAGGTGTGATAGTGAAAATTCAACGGAGCTCTCCTCATTGAGGGTTCGCGTTTAGGACGGCACTTGTCGTGTATGGGACATACGCAATCTGAAGCAGGAGCAACCACTGCGGTCGTTGGGTACGGTATTGGGGGCGGTCAGGACCTGCCATTTCTCTAGAGATGGGAAGTAGTAAATGTGGTTGTGGGCATTCAACAACATCGTTGAAGATTGATCGCCTTAGGTTTCTGGCTTTTGCTGAGCCGGCTGATTTGGTGCATGTAGTGGACACCCAGTCGGACTTTACGTGCGAGCAGGTAGTAGAGTAATTTCGTGGCGCGCGGTCATAGTTGGCATCAGGTGGTTGACATATTTGGCAACGTAGCGGGTTTGGGCTTCAGCCCGGATTCGAGCAGATTGTTCATCTCCGTCAGCGATTCCCTTTTTGGGTGTTTGATGCAGTTGAATCGAGATGTGGTGACGAGCCCTGAAAGCCTGAGTTTTTGACACGTTGAAGTTTTTGATCGAGAGCTTCGCTCCGCTGTAAATTGTAGAATTTAATACACCGTTCATCGTATCAATTCTGTAATTGTTATTATATGATTTATTTCGTTTATTGTACGATTTTTGATACCACTCTTTGAGAAGATTTATAGAGGCTTGGATCTCATTCACGACCATTCATGAATATTGAGGAAGGTGTCGAAGAGATGGCATTAGATTGTGTTGGGGAGAAAAGTGACGGCAGTGGGATTCGATCCGGGGACCTTCCGTATGGCGGTTGCAGTTTATGCTATTTTGTCTATGATTAAGGATCAATGTGAAGAGAAGATGGAGGGAGACGATGTCGAGGAAGGCGGTACTAAGGAGCAGGGTTGGTGCCGATCTGTGAGGTGGTGGTGGTTTGTTAGGGATGGTGGTAACCTCAGCTGGAGGCGCCATTGCTGTAGCTATGGACGAGCTGGGAGACTCCTGGTCTTTAACATTACGAGGAGTGCCTGCGCATAGATTAATGAGATGGATATGTGGGCTATCATGCTAGCGACCCGGGTTCGAATCTCGGTTTGGTATTTTTAGATAATCCCTTTCGTCAACGTCACCATACTGTCCACTCCCTCCATAGAAGCTATTCGAATTCCGTCCGAGTCGAGCGTCTTGACTTCTTCATCAGCCACTCCTGGGGAGCGCCCTGGTGGGAAAAGTAATCGACATCGCTCCGCTCAACTGTATGAACCTCCTCTTTAGGCTGGTGGCTTTGTGTTATCTCTTCAACTACCAACGAGCCTCTTGGTCGGCCATAGTAACGGCTGTAGTTGAGCTGGCGGTCGTTCTCTACTTCTGGCGGGTTTCTGATGATCGACATATTCCTACTGCTCATCTGCTGGCATGTATGAGTAAGATATGGACCGCATTTGGGCCTGTTTTGAATCTTTCGCTTGGGGTAGGTACTGGTGTGTTCATAATAGTACTGCTTTTACCAAATTTTCAAATTACGAGAAGTAGCTATAAATTCTTCGTAGATAACTGCTGCATCCCACAGGATGATGTAAGTAATGTGGGAGGAAGTTTTGAATATTTGCGAGTTGTTCAACTCAGTGTTGGAATATATGTTCGCTCGCCTCAACTGAGCTAATTAGAGGAGTTTTCATACGAATTCGGGTAGAAGTGCTCAGAAACCAATAGGAATTTTCCTCAGAATTTTCACTAATGTAGTTGCTCACTTTGCACATCTTCCCACACCGGTTCAATTTCTCGTCGGCGTTAAACGAAATTTTCTCAATCAATTTTTTGTTAATCATGGAATGGTAGTAGAAGTGTAGCTGAGGAGAGTATTCCTTTTCTTTCGGACGAATTGGGGAAAATCGCATTTCACGCCAAGTAGGAAATGTTTGATGCTATAACGTGAACAAGGCTTAGATGCAGTGATGGGATTTTATGCTATACTTGTGTGGAATGATCATAGTATCGAAATGGAGAATGCTCGGACGTTTATGTTGTTGATGAAAAACGTTGGGGTTTCGAAGTGTGTGAAATTGGGTCACGTATCGACTGAGTCGTAGGATGGAGTTTCACTCGAAAAACACTAGGGATAAATATATTTCGTGGACAACAAAAAGTGTTATTGACGACATACACGTCTTGAATTCACATGGAGTATTACACCACTTCACGTTAAAGCAGTGAAATTCTAATACGGCGTAAATTCATTTTAATTCCTCCTATATCCTCTCCTTCTTCGCAGTAGTTTCATTTGTCTCAGCCCGTGCTGAAGGAGATCGGCATTCGGTCGCTGGGGAGCTACTTGCGTCGAACCTCCTCCCTTATCGTGATGTGGTCGAAGTGCTACTTTGATCGTCTGTGGTGCGTATATGAGCTCGCTGCATTTATGAGCTTGAATTCGACGGCTTTGGAAATGCCAGGGGAAGTGAGGAGTTTGATAATGGAGGAGCTGAGGAGGATCGGAAGAGGCGTGAGAGAGTAGTAATGCAACTAGGGTGAATCATGAGGGGGTCTGCGCTTTGCCGCTACCATTGAGCTCGCCGCGTTTGCTTCCCCATGGTCGTTGCGGCTCTGATTGTGGTAGAGGAGGATGCGGGATTCCGTAGGTTGTCTTGTCCAGTGCTGCAAAAAAAGGTTCGCCCTCCTCAGCTTAGCTCAATATTTTTCTAACTAATCATAGGATTTTATATACGAATTGGAAGAATATATACGATAACTGTACAGAAACTAACAAGGATTTTCCAAAATGTGGAATCCTCAGAATTTTCACATGTGGTTGACCATGCGTAAATTTTACCACTCGTCTTGTCTGGTTTCAGATGGATTCTCGGGAACAGCTACAAAAATGAAGTCATATTCGTATCTCTACCCCTTATTAAGTTCGTATTTGCGTTTACTTTAGCGGCTTTTATTGGAAATGTTCTCCTGAGCATAGAAGTGGTAATAATTTGAAATTGTGAGTTTCTTTGGAAAATGTTTTTCAGGGCGTCGCGGGAGCTTTTGAGGCGAGTTCGAGAGCTCGGTTGTTGTGCGCTATTCCGGAAGGCTTGTTGTTGGCGGCGGTGTTATGTCCGTTTGCTATTCGTTATGTGAGAGATAGGGAGGCGCTGATTAACCAGATCAAGACCTTCGAAATGGATAACACTAAATGCACAGTAGAGGCTGATAGAGAGTAGTAGGGTAATTTCGTGGCGCAGTGACGGATGGTGATAGAGAGTAGTAGGGTAATTTCGTGGCGCAGTGACGGATGGTGATAGAGAGTAGTAGGGTAATTTCGTGGCGCAGTGACGGATGGTGATAGAGAGTAGTAGGGTAATTTCGTGGCGCAGTGACGGATGGTGATAGAGAGTAGTAGGGTAATTTCGTGGCGCAGTGACGGATGGTGATAGAGAGTAGTAGGGTAATTTCGTGGCGCAGTGACGGATGGTGATAGAGAGTAGTAGGGTAATTTCGTGGCGCAGTGACGGATGGTGATAGGGAGTAGTAGGGTAATTTCGTGGCGCAGTGACGGATGGTGATAGAGAGTAGTAGGGTAATTTCGTGGCGCAGTGACGGATGGTGATAGAGAGTAGTAGGGTAATTTCGTGGCGCAGTGACGGATGGTGATAGAGAGTAGTAGGGTAATTTCGTGGCGCAGTGACGGATGGTGATAGAGAGTAGTAGGGTAATTTCGTGGCGCAGTGACGGATGGTGATAGAGAGTAGTAGGGTAATTTCGTGGCGCAGTGACGGTTACTCTAGTGTTACTTCTACTACTTCTTTGAGGTACGTCATGAGGAACATATCTTCCCTTTATGATGGGGACCTGTCGGCCTTTGAAAGGATCGTCAAAATTGAGGTTGGACGAGCCGCTCGGCAAACACTGGGGATCCGTCTAGGGACGATTCCGTTCAAATATGTAATATTGTGGACCTGTTTTGAATCTTCCGGAGGGGGAGCTTGAAAGATACGTTTGAATGTAGACCATCGACGTCTTGAGGTTTGGAAACGCGCAGGAGGGAAGTTTCGAGCGTCATTTTTTAGGATTTTTGTCGCCTGTCATACCGTAATTTCGCCAATTTATAGTTGCCGAATACCTGCAGTTATTGATTTGCATAGTCAGCATATTCAAGAGGACTTCCTATTTTCAAATTGATCGATTTGAATCTCCGGAAATATACATCGCCGTATTATGATTCTGAGGTTTATAATGCCCTTTTCGATTATGATGTTTTTCCCCGGGGAAAAACGTTCGATATGGATATTTTTATCAGGTGGTTTTATTGTCAACAGTATATATCAACCTAGCACTGTGTTTGCTGGGACCAGACATCATTATATGGGGGCCTCTGTGGGCCTTGGGCTGTTTCCTTCCGCAATTGCTTCTCTCCTTTACTCGAATGCCCTTGTATATATACGTCATTTTGAGAGGTGGCGCGGCAGTTGAGAGAAACTTGACGCGGCCGAGACGGTTTATGTTTTTCCTTTTTGTGAGTTGTTGGTCGATTTTGAAAGTGTTTATGGAGTTAGTGAGTGAGGGCCATCCTTATTCGCTGATACCGCTTTGTATTCTCCATACCGTAATTTGTATAGGAATGTATTTTCCGGTTTCTACTGAGGAAAAAAGGGGGTGTTGGTCTCGTGCGGTTGACCGGATCTTCCCTGTTGATGAAGATGTTATGAATTTGAGTGAACCTTTGAAAAGCTGCGAGAAAGGTATTCAGGTTGGAGAGTGTTGTTACGATATAGGGGTCAACAGTTTCCCTTCTATGAGGGAGAAGACGATCTATGGTGTGCAAAAAGGAGAAATCCAGCACGCCAAAAGTTGGTGACATTTTACCGTGTTTGGATCTCTGTTGAGTGTTGATCTGTTTTAAAGCTTTATATGTTGAATTGGTCGCGTTGGGGTATCTTGAGGTTGAATGGGAAAGATACGGAATAGGTCTAATAATGTCCTTTTTCTGATGGTTGGGAAGTCTATTAGAAAAGTATCGTCTGCGGCAGTGGAGAAGGGAAACGTCATTCGAGCGTTTCGGGGAGAGTTCGGTTTCTTATCGAACTTCAGCGACGACCCAGTAAGGATGGACGATGGTAGTAGTGGTGGGCAGGGAAATTTCGCGCGCCACGAAATTGACTATGTGTAGGGATCAGTGTTTGGCAGATGGTTAACGACATGTGTTGGTGGTAATATGAAAATTCTGACAAATTTTTTAGAAATTTACATTAGTTTTTCTGTACACTTCTATGTGAGTTTGTATGTATATTCCTTTCATTAATGAGGAAACTCGTTGGTTCATTTGATGTGAGAAAATATATAATCCGAAATTTGTAGGAATTCTCTACCCGACGGCCGAACACGCATTTCAAGCGCAAAAGGTTGTTGATGTTGAGAAGCGCCGATGCATGGTGGAAAAATGCGGAACGGCGAAATCGGTAGTTGGGGGGAGGGGGTATTTTATGAATTGTCAAAAGTGGAGTGAAATTTACAAGTTTTTTGTGGGAAAATAAAAACGAAAAAATTTGTAGTAGTTGGAGAAAGTGGAAATTTTTTTCTGAAATTTTTCATTCCGTAGGCGAAGGCGTGGGGAAAACGAGCGAAACCGTTACGAGCTGATTGGAATGATATTCGTGTCGACGTAATGCGGGAGGTGATCGGGGCTAAGTTTAAGGGTGGATCGGAGGAGCTGAGGGAGATGCTGGTCGCGACGGGCGAGAGAGAGCTGGTGGAGGGTAATGTTTGGAATGATACTTTTTGGGGGGTTTCGTTGAGGACGGGGAAAGGGCAGAATCAGCTCGGGAAGATTCTGATGGAGGTACGGGAGGAGTTGAAGAAAAAATAGTTTTTGTATCAAAAATGATCGGCCTTCTTTTCCTCATTCATGTATGTGGTTGTTCTGATAGGATTCCGCTACTATTCGGTTGAGTGGTGTTGGTTGATAATTTCGTGGCGCGTGACTTTTTTGGATGCGGGTTGCGAGGTCGTCTTATATGGGGGTGAACTGCTACAGTATGCGCGGCTCAGAGAGAGTTTGCTGGAATAACGGTGCTGCAGTGTTGAAATATATGTTTGTGTCCTCAGCTGAGTTTAGAAATGAATTCGGGTAGAAGTGTACAGAAACCAATGAGAAAGTCTCAAAGTTTCCTCCCCCAGAATTTTCATATTGTCATCATCAACATATGTGGTTGACCATGTGCATCTTTTCCCACACTGCCCGAGGGCTGGTTTCGCTTCCATTTTCTTCTTTTTTTCGCGATATTGCTTTACCCTATCCACGTGTTATTTGGGAAAGGCGCTATTGCGTAATGAGAAGTAGTGGATATTTGTGTGCTAGGAGTAGTCCTCTACGACTACTGGTAGAATAGTCAGCGGCAGTAAAACTGTAGGCATGAGGAGATCGTGATGATGATGGTGATGCTGAGGATTTCCCCGGGAGAGATTCACTCTATACGAGCGTCTGGTTGGGACCATTGAGCTCCCGGCTCGTCGAATGCGTTATGGGCGGTTGATCGGGAAGTTGAGCGGAGTGGTTGTTAGGGATTTTCATTCAACTCTGTTGATGCCTGCTGAAGGCAATGGGGATTTTAATGTTATTTTCCACGCGAGGGAAGCTTTGAGGAAAAGAAACCGAGGAGAAGCGGAGATTAGCAAGGTCAGTTGTGTTTTGGAATTTTTCTCGAAAATTTTCAAGGGAATTTTTTCCGTTGTAGATGCTTACAATTTTGCGGGATAATCTGTTGGATTCGGCGCCGAATATTCTGGATATCTCCCAAGAGACGTGGGTGGCGCTCAGCCTTCCGGTCGGGCTACTGCTCGAACTGCGAAGGGCAGCAATCGCCGCTGGTTGTACATCTCCTAGTGCATCACAAGTAAATCTTTGAAAAAGCGCGCGCCTTAGTGATCGATTTCTGATGATGGCTTCCCATGTTTGCAGGTTCAGGAGAGCCATGGGATTTCAGAGGCTCAACGCACAGTATCCTCTACTGATGAGGTTGCGGAAGAATCTTTCTCCTCGGTGGAAGCTTTAGTTGACAGTCATCTGGATCCAGGAGGCTTTGAGGTGAATCGTCACTCGCCACGAAATTATGATCGATTATGAATTAGAGCACGAAGGATTCCCCTATATCTCGACCTGGACGGTTCTCGCGGCCTTCTGTGTCGCACAGTATACCTGTTCAACATCAACAGACTTGGTACGAAGGCAATTACGTTCATGGCGGACGGAAGGACAATAATGTACGCTGGAGGGATGCTGTAAGGATTACTCATAATACCATAGTCGCAATATTATCGATGGAAAATGGCAATTTTGGAGTACCAAAACTGGCTGAAGATACTTTAAATTCCAGGATGGTCTCTGTATGCATTCGAAGTTGCATATGTGATGTACTACATCGATTGAAATAGGGTATGGTGTGGTATTTAATCCCGGTGTTCAGCAAACTCGCTGTGAAATTCAGGATCGATCCTTCATTATTCGTGAATGCGTCTTTACCGGATAACCTCACTTTGTAAGCTTTCCAGGCAATTCACAAGAAGTGGGCGGAGCGAAGTTCGACTGACGTGGATTATCAGCATCCTTCAAATCACGAGCAGCATGCGAGTAAAAGAGTCAGGTTGCTGCGGAATGACGGGAGCCCGAGCGGTGGGAAACCTCCAGAAATTATGGACTTCAGAACTTGGATGCCGTCAAGGAACGTGAGCTCTATTGATGAATCTTAGGTCGGAGAATGAAGATTCACAACAGGTCCCAGCTACGGCACAGAAATCTCCCCAAAGAGGCGCCGCGATCTTATTGGATCGATCGGCAGCAGAGGCCGGCGAGGCGGCAGCGACTATGGCGATACAACAACAGTACAATGAGAGGCCGCCACCGCCCGCTCCCCCACCGCCTCCACCTCCTGCTTCCTCATCTTACTATGGGAGAAAGTGTTGATAACATTTCCGTGTATGGCAGTGTTGTGGTATTGATTGTCTTCTCTTGTCATAGGGTGGGGGGGGGGGATCTTGCAGCTTCTGTTTCGGGTGGTGATCAGTTTTAAACGTAACTCCCTGATTTGCCTTTGATAAAGAGACATGAAGGGGCATGATGTTGACAGTGTAGACTTATGATGGTTATCAACTGAGGTGGGTAACTCATACAGGGTGATGGTTGCACTGTTTCTAGTATAAGATGGTACCTTCCGACCCGAAGGCTTGAAGTACTAGCATTTCTTGTTTCTCTATCTTTCCTTCGCTATGCCTAGTTTTACGCCCATTACAGAGACTGTTACGTCATGCGCACTGCCACCAGCCGAGAAGGACTTCTTACGGCCAGTGGAGCTGGTGTGTACGGATATGGACGGCACTGTGTTGGGACCTGACCACAGCATTCACGAGGTCACTTTCGAGAAGATTCACCGAGCACAGAAATTGGGATGTGAGTTCGTCTATGTTGTTAGTATATGATGGAGTCATTGGCAGGTGCTGTTATCCCCGCCACTGGACGATGTAGGATGTCGGCGGCGAAATGCTTCTCTAAGGGAGGGATCGATCTGTGAGCAGCGTGAGGGAGACTACTTTTGGTGGTTCATGCGACCACTGGTGTGAGAACGTGGATTCTTACCTAGTGTGAACGCGGACTTGAAAAAACGAAACCGTCTATGATGGCTCTGTGGAGGATTACTTAGTTGATTTGCCATCATCTTCAAGGTCGTCAGCGGTTGTCTTGGTAACTTGTAATCGGTCGTAGATACTCTCTTCCCGGTGTCTATCTCAACGGCTGTGTCGTCTACGATGATAAGGGCAACGTTGCATCGAATGTCGTGCTTGACTACCAAATAGTAAGTAGAAAAGGTGAGGTTTACACTCTAGGCCCTAGGCCATGTTCATAGAGAAATTTCTTCCAATTCTGAATTCAAGTCAGTTTTGGACCGAAACTGATTTGAATTTCGACTTCCAAAACTTTTGGTGTGGGACTCGTGTCAGTATTCGAATCTAAAGCGTGATCTGCTGCTGATCACTATGGGCTCCTTAGTAGTCCAGTAGAAGAAGATGCTGTCCCGGCCGACTTCATGCTTCTGGGTGCGCTCTGCCCCCGTGATACTTCCGTGTTATACGAACACTACGTTGTTATGGTGACCTAGGAGTGCTGACCCAATCTGGCTCGTCTGGATTGCGGTGAATCTGCTTAGTACTCGCCTTCGAAACACGGAATACTCACTTTGGGTCACAGATTCTATGGTCATAGATTGGACACTGCTCAGTCAATCATGAGCGAAGGTGAAGTGCTGGCGAGCACAGGCACTGTCAGGCTGTCCCGCTGGATGGGCGAGAATAGGCTAGTGGCACAGCAGCTTGGATTCCGATGAGATAGGTCGCTCTCTTGTGGTGCACGTTCAAGTTCCAGCTACAGTGAGTAGGCCGTGTTTCAGCGCTCTTCAATCAGGAGAAGGTCACACCATTGTGTGTGCGTTCAGTAACCAATGGTTATATTACCTAGACATAGAAGGAGCTGAGTCAGCTTTATTAGATATTAAGGCTCGCACAAAAACTTGCGACCGGAGCGAGCGTATTAGGACACTGTTTGAGGTCGCCTTCACTAGCTGGTTTTCCGGAGGCTAAGCTGTGAAACGAGTATTGGACCGCATGATATGTGTCATTGTCGCAGTCTGTAGAGTATCAAACGACCGAAGATTTCCGACAGAAGACCGGACTCGGTGGCATTACTCACACAGCATTAGTTTCGCTGTGCCCAGACTATGGGCCTCAGAATCACCCAGTATTAGGGACCGATACCAGTGATATCACACCCTTAACAAGGTTGTATGAGATCTGGACCTTACAGGTCAAGACATCGTCGTGGACGGCGTACCTTCGAAAGTTGTTTCCTCTCAGCTCTAGAGTTCTCACGAGCTCATTTTTGAGAACCTGCATTCACTCAAGTGATTAACTGGCAGTCGGGGAAATTGAAATCCTGAAGACGATTGATTGTATGTGGAAAATAGAGCTATCCCGTGATATTATTCAGGTATGTGATCTGGTGAATGGGCTGCGTCACCAAAGAGAGGTGATACCTCTCATATGCAGTGGCGATCGAGTCTTGGCGCCTTTCACTAACGATTTCGTCAAGTGCATGGAACGGATGTGAGTATTTGGGTGATGAACCTCTGGAGAAATTATCCAATCTGAAACCTTAACTGGTGTTCGACAACACTGAAAGGATCGCACTCGTTGTGTATACACTGGTGGGTCGTATGCGGGATAGTTATACCTTTCACATACAGCTCGGGGTTAATGTCATATTCTTTCTGTGGCCGTTACTGGCAACTCTCCAATATAAAAAAAGCCCGCTCTGTAAGAGGTCTTGTGAGCAACTGCCTGTGTAGTGTGAGCTGAATTACGGAAACAGATATCCAATGAGGGATATACTCTCCCCAGGTTCGATGATCCTACTCCTGAAGACTGTGGTGGCTACGACGGTCTACTCAGGAAGGTTCGTGAGGATTCTATTCCGGTTCACATGGTAAGGAAACTCCTCGAGAGAATAATGCCTCCGCCAGGGATCGAACTATCAATCACTCTGTCACTGTTTCGAGAACTCCATTAACCTAGTCCGACTAATTTAGTCGCCCTCTCAATACACTACACGTCGCCATGCATTCAAACTAGCCATCTTTTGTAGATCCATGTTATTACTCCCGATCCTGAATACCTGAAGTCGGAAGTTGTCGGACGATTGAAGGGATTCGCCGCGTAAGCGTTCCATGTCTACTTGCTCATTCTATGTGCGTTCTGCGGGTGATGACGTTATCTTGGCTATCAGTGAGGTTAGCTCCCCATAGTACATCCTTATGGGTTTTGTTGATTCAGCTCTGCTGGATACTGCTTGCGATGATGGTTATCCGTGAAGGATGCAAGTTCGATCCCAAGCGAGTGTACTTTTAGGTCTCATGGATGCGCCGCAGCTCAGTCTTTGTCATTCCTCTGCGATATTATACCGGCAGCAGCAAATAAGGGATACGGCATTCGTGTTTTGAAGGAGCGCCTTGGATGTGAGTCGCTGTTGACGTTTTAGCTCGTGCTAAAACGATCCGTTGTAGATAATTCTATTGCTTGCATTGGCGATGCAATGAACGACAAGGAGATGTTACAGAATGCTGATGTACCTGTTGTTATGGGGAACGCGATGAATGAAATTAAGGTGAGTTCCCACACGCCACGAAATAGGATCTCACTTTTCTCGCCCTCAGACTCTAGGTAGACTGAAAGTGAACGCCAACGATCACGCAGTTCTCCCGGGTGTGGCTGATTTGATTAGTCGAATAATAGCCGCCAAGCAATAATACTGTTGCGCATGCGTGCATATTCTTTGTCCTCTTGTACAGTAGCACTAAGTGGCTTCCTTTCTATCCTTCGGCACTTCACCCAGATCGCGGCATCAGCGATTCAGTGTTTCTCGATATGTCGAGGGCTTGGGTTGCATGAATTGAATTGAAAGCAGATGATCTGCCATATTCTCCTTGAGCGGGGTAGAGGAGCTTTTGAGGCTAATGGGTGACTCGAGCCGGCAGTGGAGAGGGGCTCGTCTTCCGGAACTACTGGAAGACGATACTACAGTACTACTGGATCGGTAGACACAAGTGCATTAGAGAGCAGATCGAACAATCGGTTTTAGCAGGTTGGTCAAAAGCAAGCCGCGAAAGTTACATTGGCGTATTGAGCTATTGCAGTAGGCTGTTGCCAGCGGGACTGAGGGAGACCTCTCTACACAGGCGAATGCCTCGTCGATCTTCATACCGATGCTGAGCACTCCAAATTAAGTGAGCAGTTCAGAGGGGTAGCAGCTGATATGAAGGTGAGGGATTAGTCCATGGTCTCGGGTTCAATTCCCGGTGAGGTGAGGATCAGTGCATCTCGGCAATTGATCTCTTCTCCAACCCCATTCGGCCGCAGAAGAAGCTTCTGAACAAAGTCGTATTTTTTGAAGACCTCAGTGGGACTCATAAAAGCGGGCAGGTAAGAATATGCATTCAAGATTTGTATTGCATGCTGAATGGGAGTCCTCAATCTTTAATGCCAAGTCACCAGGTAGATTCTTCTGTTTCTTTTCGACGTGTATAAGGTGGGATTTTCGCTAGCGGACGCTCTTGAGTAGTTCGCAGTGAATGTTCTCTTTTTCTCAGGGGATTAGGGAGTTTCAATCTCAAGTACTTGCCTAACAATGGATGTTGCGAAATGTGAGTACGTGCGATCGGCGCAGCTTCTACACTGATGGATGGTGCTACTAGGTAGACTGGTATATGAACCGGAGACTGGTTCAGTCGGCTCAAAATACCGTGCGCGCACGACATACGCCTTCACAATCCCAGCAAATGATTGTTAAGCACTAGTGTGAAGCAAGAGAGACAGGCTATTCACTATGACCACATCACAAACAGCATGGGTGTTGTGAATAATTCACAACAACAGCAAAAGCACTCGTTACGTATAATCATACACCGGTCAGCTATTGGTACTCGCCGCCGATCGCATCCTCGTAACTGATTCAATTAGAGATGGAAGGTAGCGGTAGACCTGGGTGCTTACCTGGGTGGTATCTCATCGTCGCTGGATGTTGGCGAATCGATCGGCCTGGAAGAAAATTCAATCAGGTCGAAAATGTAGCTTTTTTGTCATTTTTCACTTACCTTGCACCGGTAAAGATTCTCGAATCATGGTAGTCTCTGAGATCGTGCAAAACGGTGATTCCGTTCCCCAAAACGACTGCGTGGTAGGCGATGAAAAAACCAATGCGACCATCGGGCAGCTTGAAGTAGGGGCTTGCTTTAGTCGATTTATGCCCGTCAAGTTTGAGCCATTTCGCTTTTTCCTTGAGTCCATAATTCTCCACCCAGGTCAAGGCGCCTTTTTTAGAGACACTCAGTGAAGCAAGGGGCTCCATTGATGAGTATTCCAAACCAAAATGTGCCTTCGCGGAAGGTTTAATCATCGACTTTGGCGTTCTCGTAATGTATTTGAACGGTCTGGCCCGATCGAGTCCTACCACTCTGCGGTCACCCCGATTCTCGTAAGGGTATTGTCTCATATCCGGCAGGTGCTCGAGGTTACATCCGGGAAGAAAATTGATAAAGGCTCCATCGTATTCTACGTCGCAATACTCAGTCCTGGTCGGCAACTCCCCATCGGGACCTCTTACCATCTCATAAGTGAAAGCGCGCGTAACAACGGTGTTCTCTTCCAAGAAGCACTCAGTCTTGCTCTGAGTGTTGCCTTCCCGGCAGTAAATTTTGAGACCAGGGTTAGCAGTCACTGTGGTTATAGCGAATCCCAAGAGGAGGAGGAGACGGCCTCCGCAGCGTGGATGAAGCATTTGAGGAGCAGATGAGGCTTAAGAGCAACTGAAGGTCTGCCAAAACGATGTTGGACTACTCCGAGATCCCACCCACATCGTCTGTCCCACAACGTAGCCTTGCGAATCGCGGGTATCTGTCGAGGTTTTGTTAGTCAAAACGGGGGCAATTCACGGAACTTGACGGGCTGCTCACTCGGGAGGGTTTGGTATACTACTGGGATTGCGCCCATTGACGTAATCCCGATCATCTCTGTGTTGAGCAAGCAGAATGACCTGCTCTGGCAGCACACTTGTGGGCGGAAATCTGCTATCGCCGCTTTTTTGAGCATGACAAGAACTCGTTCGCTCAGACGTCATTTCCAACTCAGCAAGACACGGAAAGCCTCCAGGGATTCTAGATCAGCGGTTTTAATAGCCCTTAGTCCTACTAACATGGAACGTTAGGGTTGCCTTTTCCCCCGTCGCCGGCTGGTATTGGCAGCCAGAGCTTGTTCTAGGAAATGCCCGAAAACGCCATTAACAGTCTCGCTCGCCCTAAAGTCGTTTCGATAAGTCGATCCACTGGTCGATGTGTTACTCAGACCTTTGATGAATCTACAAGGTTAAAGAGGTCGGGGCTACGTCGTTGTTCAAGTCGATGAGTCTATTGCTTTGGCCTCTCTCACAACTAAGTCTGTAAGAACATTCTCGCACCTGGGCATCCGAACGTCGTTCTGTCTCGGCCGATCCAGGCGAGTCGGGCGGAGGCAGTGTGGTAAAATGTGAGCTTGGTCAACCACATGGTGACAATATGAAAACTCTGAGGAAAATTTGGAAAATCCTTGTTACTTTCTGTACACTGATCGTATATATTCTCCCAATTCATATATAAAATCCTATGATTAGCGAGGAAAATTTTGAGCCTAGCTGAGGCAAGCGAACATTTTTTGCAGCACTGGGAGGAGGGGGAGATGATGTATCTTTCGGCTGTGCTTTAGGGGCCATAATTTATGGCCCATAAAGAGCTTCGAGTCGAAGTTCCTCTATTATGGCCTCGGATACTGGGGCACGGTAGAATTTCGGCTCTTTCTAAGGACCAGCACCCGGCGGATTCGCAAAGAAGGCATCCTGATGGTAGAGAATGATCCCTATGGAGCTGCAGGGGCTCGTTGCGATGTATTATGAGTCTAGCCAAGGCCGAGTTAAGTTACTTGTTGAGCGAGGAGAGCGCATCATAGGCTATCGCTGACTAACTCTGCTGTGGGTCTCAAGGCAGTTTTCCATCAATAGTAACTAAGACGAGTACTGGATGGTCATAGGAGTAGTATTATCCAGCTTTGAGAGATAACGTTACCCAGAGTTCGATAACCGTGGAGGGAATGATGATCCTAATGTGATGAAATTTGCATTGGAAACTGATTGAAGAATGTGTTCCTACTACGCAGAAAATTCGAAATGAAGCCGCTCCCCTGAGAACATTATAGGTTCCTGGATGATTCCATGATTAGTACTACTGCTAATACTGTACTGGTGCGAATAGCCAACTCCAGATTCGACACCTCGTTATCATCGACGTGTTTTTGAAATCCCTGCATACACTGGAAAATTACATTTCTTGTCCAGGAGTTGTTGGTTATCACAATTAACGATCGTCTCATTCCCGCTGCTATCAGCCTTTATCGTCCCCTCTCATGCCGTCTTCCCTCCGCAATGATGCATCAGCCCTCCCCCTATTCGCTGTGGTGCCGTTCTTACAATCATCAGAAGCAGTATCGTTATATGCAGCATTCAAGGAACCGGTAGAATTTATGCCTCTGGTTCACGTCGTGGACACCACCATTGGCCCTTCCTCGATCGCTTGGCAAAGCCTCCAACTTTTGCAGACTCTTTCGATCGAGGAGTCCCATCTTGCCATCTTCAATTACTCTACTCTACCATCCTTAACGACCATCACGATCCGTCCATCGGAGGGCTGTGGACCCGAGCTCGACCTCTGTCCTGTACTCGGTCGTTTCTTGACGCCCAAGTTGAGGATTATGAATCTCAAAGGCTTTTGCTGTGACACCATTGCGAGAGCGATAGGAAGTGTTGAGGAGTGGCCGATCGTCGAGAAGGTGTTCATCTCCCACAATGGGGCTTCTTGTTGCGGCTCGGTCTTGGATATTTGGGAGGCGATCTCATTGGCCTTCCCAGCTTTGAGGGGGATCAGCGCAGTCCCCTGGGGGCACCCAGTGAATGGTCAATGCCAGCTAACGATCGCCAAACGGCAGGTAGAGTTTATGCCATTTGTAACAGAAGTTGAACTGAAAGGTCCGCTGATGTCGTTGTCCTCTCGTAGTCTTCATATTCCATTCTCAGGACTCCCCCCTGTGCTTCTCACCGGCCCTTCACACTTCTCTCGATGCCTAACAAGTCTCAGCCTCACTGGTTGCTTGGTATCCGCCACCTTGTTGGGCTGTCTCTCTACAGCTGGTCCCCTGTCTTCTCTGAAACGGTATTGAGCTCCTGTTAAAGGCTCGTCCATCGTCTCCTGTTAGGCTGTCCTTAATCGGCCCGTTTTTCGGTGCTGTTGGTTCGCTTCTGGCGTTGAGACTTACAGAGGAGGGGGTCTTCCCGGCTCTTGAGCGCCTGTGAGTTTGTGAGGGAGTGGAATGATTATTTTTGACAATATCTTAGATCTCTCAATCTGACCAAATTCCAAGGCGGGTGGATGGGGGACTATACTGACCTCGGAGTATCATTTCTGAGGATCCTCATCAAACTCTATCAATCTCATCGGATATCCCCGCATAGGCGGCTCCAGGTGGGAATTCCGTGGCGCGCGAGAAAATCAGAGTTCTCGTTTAGGTCATCACGACTACTACTATAGGCATTCCTGAAGACACTTCTCTCATTTATCAACAGCTCATACAAGGACCTTTACCGGCGATGAAAGTTTTGAAGTTGAAATCGGATGATGGTCGGTATCGCATTATCGACTTTCTACATGCTACCACTACCAAGGCCTTTTAAGTTGACGAAGTATAACCAGCATTGTTGCAAATAAGTCTGGACTGTAGAATCTGATTGCGATAAGCGCTCGCCCGATTGATCGATTTAGTTTGATGTGATTGAGTAGAAAGGTAACTGATTGTGACGATTGATTGTTGTATCACTGTCGGTAGCAGTCGCCATGCGATATTGATAGCTTTTGCTCATCATTATGTTGTGTCGTGAAATCTGAGGTCCCCGGTTCGATTCCCAGTGAAGGCATTGTTCTCCATGGCTGGTCTGCCATCCCTAGGCTTGGCGCCTTCCTCGTTGTCCTCGTACGCCTCTCTCGCTTATCCTCAGCCCTTCCCTCTACCTGCCGTCTCGGGATTCGCTCTCGATGCCGTTTTCTACACGCCACAGTATCCGGAGGGATCAGTGAGGATGATTGAATTTCGGCCGACCGGTGAAGTCACATTTTACACGATAGAAGACAAACCGCACAGTTGCTTCTACAGTGGTGTTATTAAAGACAACGCGAATGTGCAAGTCGTTTTGCATGATGCACATCATGATGAGAAAAACCGTTGCGAAAATATAATACAGGAATATGGAAGACACTTTTTTGATAAGGGAATTCATCTTGACCTCCAAAAGATGCAAATTAAGATCGCTGGAGAACACTATGGAAGTGCGGTCGACATTTACAACCACGGCAAGTCGCGCGAGGAGCCGGGCTATTGTGTGGCATTGACTGAGAATGGGATGATGGACTGCACGTTTGAGGGGAAAACCGGGCAGATTTCATTCCATCTGGATGGCGGAGTTGACATTTTCAAGAACGAAGATGAACAGGTGTCCTGTAAGTATTCTGTACGATCGCTCGTAGTGACTATCAGGGACTGCGGAAGAACCACAAACAGTTTTCAGCAGCTCATCGACTTCATAGGGGAGGACAATTCTCTAAGTCTTCATCCGTTGACGTTGACTGTGCGACGAGAAAATGAATATGCCTATCAGAGCGATGAATATGTCTATAAACAAGTCCAATGGGAGGAGGTGTTTTTTGATGCCAACGGTGTGAGAGTCCGTGGGGGAGTTCGAATGGATTGCGACTTTGCAGCGGATGATGATAAACATGGTGACGGTATCCATACGATTTCTTTCAAGAGAAGTGGAGTGATAGAAGTAACAGGTAACAGAAATACCTACAGTGGCGACTACGAAGCCACGTTCAACGCCCAAAGTGGCAAAATCATCGTTAATGTGTTCAAGTTGAAGAGCCAAGGTCACAGCTTACAGAGCCTACGATCAGGCGAAAATTCCCTAATGTCGATGAGTTTGGTCATCAAGAATAAGGCTATGCGTAGAATGGAAATCGACCTCCACGGCGGGCCGAGAGCAGTTTCGTTTACCTCTGGCGGAGACTGTCGGGCATTCAAAGTGAGCTGACGATGATTAGCATGTTGAAAGGTGTTTGATGTTCGCGATCGAGACGGTGTTGATTTATGACTATTTTCAACCACTGGGGAGACCGAGTGGAAGCCTTCGTTAACTCCGTCACCACCACCGCCCCGCATCCTCCCTGAAATAACTTAGTCGTAGTGCGCGAGTCCATTTGTCGAGACCACTCTTCATGAACGCGCATATTTACGAGATGCGTTAAAACGAATAAAGATAGTTTATCGCTAATATGTTGCAAACCAACATTCGGTATTCCCAACAGTGTACATCTCGAGAACCGGAGAGAACCCATACCACCTCTCCTGCCCTCAGCTCCGCTCCGCCATTTTCATTAGCATCATAGATCGGCCTTCTCCGGCTGAGGTCCATCTATACACGGCTTTGAGGGAAGGAAAAGAATCATTCCCGCTCCTACAGTGTGGAGATATTCACAATAACGCAAGGCGATCGAAGACGGCTCGGACGACCACGACGACGTTCGATCGGTCGGTGGATGATACATTATGATTGTCTTTAACTAGACATTAGTTTAACAGAGGATCTCCATCACGGAGACCCTATAGAAATGCAGCCAGTGGAAAATTGAGGGGAAGGGGACAATGCCCTAGTAGTAGTAATAATAATAGTAGCAGTAGTAGTGATATCCCCCTACTCACTATGAATGTAACCTCGTCTTCTACATGAACGACTGATACTATCAATCAGATAAGGAACGGATGAGCTTAGGCCTCTTAGCCCACATATGCAACACACTAGATGTTTGGCATTGCTCCACCATCCGCATTGCGTCCATTCTCACGTCGTTAACTCGCAAGACAATATCTCCCTTTTGTAGTTTTTGGCCCGGGGGAGCTTTCCTATTCCAGAGGTCAATGGAGCCCTCGGGGGTAACTCTATCTACGACAAGCCATCGAGGATCGCTGTGGTCGACATCTATGCCCAAACGAACACCAGGTATTCTCTGAACGAAGGAATGGTCGTATTCTAACCTGTTTTGTATCTTACCCGCGTGAACCTAAGATACTACCTGTATATCTAGCTTAAAGCAATCCACCAACTCGATATCCTCCTTCTCCTCTGCAGCCCCAACCCGTTCGTCCGCCACATCGTCGTCAGTGTCGTCCTCGGAAGCACCGGCAGCCGCAGTCGTCTGAGTATGCTCATATTATCACTCTCTCTAATCCGAGTATCGATACGCCTTCCCACCCACCAGACCTGTTCATTCCGATGAGTGATGTGCCCTAGACGACGCCTATTCAGTGGTGAGATATTGTCCCTGCCTCCCCCCGCTAAACTACCTCCAACGGTGTTGTTGTTGCTGCTAGTGGCTCTTGGGTTTCTGCCGCTCCCCTTGACGAGCCTGAAATTATTAATAATAATCGGTGGTGATGGAGCCATTACCTTCTTCCTTCCCGACGAGAGAGGTTGGAGTGGCAGCAGTTGTAGTAGGAGTTGCCTTTGGAGTGGTATAAGCTCCTCCCGTCTGAGTGTCCCCATCATGCCCCTGTACTGTCACTTCGTGGAGCCACTCGGAGGTGTCTGGTCGTCGACAACACTGATCGAACATGTTGATGCTGAAAGTCTCTAGCCTGGAGACTGTCGAGCTGGACTCGATCGACGCGAGTGTATTTCCCATGCAAAAGTTTAATATGTGCTGATCGATATTCGTGCGTAGTTCCCCTTCCGGACCTATTCTGAATCTTCCATGCCCCCAACCTGTGGCATATCAACACCCCCACCTACCATCCTCGAAGATTCTCTCTCCCATCCAACCGCGGAGCGATTTGCAGGAAAAGTGGTACTATATAATTGACCTAAATGCACTTCTCCTGTGAGCGCAGGTTCCATCCCTGCCGGCGACACTTCTCGCAGTCAACTTGTTAGAGATATACTCGGCTCGCATTGCTCGGTATCAGTAAAGCGAGGGTCTCTCTGTATTCCGAAGATGACCAACATTTGGCTGTACTCAGGAGAATGGGCTTCGGAGGGCTCCGCCCCCGAACCGTCGATGTCTTCGATTTCCTCGACACTAGCATGAAGTCATAAGGTCGTTCCTACTACTGGTGATAGTCGAGACAAACGTACAGTAAACTACCTCCTTTGCTATCGGGTGTGATACCCGGGGTATCCAGCCCGTCCCCAGTTGCTGCGATTGTGTGCATGCGTGCTAGCTCGGGATCCATTCGTTAACTGTTCAATAATGCTGGAGGGGGTTGCTGGGCCTGTTCCGTATCTTTCATGTCATAACCTAAGATACTTTATGTGCCATCCGTCGAAAAACGTCAGTTTTTGCATTTCACAGTGTCGGGCACTCCGGTCTCTCTCAACGCGCTCCTCGAAAGGTGCGCGAGGAAGCTCGAGCGACATAGATACGAGATAAGGCCGTATCAAGAACTTCTCTATCACAACCAATGGCTCACGAATCACAACGATGTCTCTAAAGTGACCATAACAACTACCGTCACGCGCCATGAAATTACTGACAGGTCCCTGAAGAGGTGATGGAGAGTTGGGGGCTTCCCTTGAGGTTAGTGAAAACACTGAAGGAGCAGATACGAGAGATTGAGGTGGGACCTGAGTTGGAATTTCTCCACCGTCCAGGGTGACCGAGATCAGGTCACAGCTATCAAGTCCGACTTCGTCGCGCGGCTGCAAGTCCTGGGGGATAGGAAAAGTAAACGGAGAATTGCGATGGAAAAGTTGAAAAAACGACACAAGGAAAAGTGGGCAAATTTCCTACTGTCAATCGCAGAGAAGGGGGGCTGATATTGATTGAGAGATGCCATTGAATTTGGCCTATTGAAATACCCGGGGGCAGGTGGGCGGCCGTGACCATTGCGGACGCATACAAGCAGTACCTCATGAGGAGGGACGGTATCTTGCCTACGTATCACCACGACGAGGACGGGGAATACTGCGATGCCGACGAGTGGAGTCTCGTCAAGGGAGATACTCAAAAACCACCTATGAGTGAGTTGGAAGATTCAAAACCGGCCCACTGACGGCCTCTTTGATCGATCAGCCCATCGGAGTAGCATATCTTCTGTGGTGTCGGGTAGCACAGCATCGTACAAGGTGGCGAAGAGGACTATAATGCTAGCAGTGAGCAGATGGATGCTTCGGTGAGGAGAAGGCCCATTGGACCATCCAGGGTTTGTGAATTCCGTCGATCAGGATGCTTAAACGCCGTCGAAGGGCTGCTAATGAGACTTGCCCGTTAGCTAGGACCATTCATAAGGTGGGTTGGAGTGTCTCTGCTAAGAATCGAACCTGCGACCTCTAGATACTCATAGAGAAAGGTATACGCGCTGACCTAGGCGGCCGTGTACGGGATTGGCTAGTCGGAAAGCAGTGGCTCCTCACTGTGGAAGACCTTGGAATTGTCGAGGAGAGGCATTGGCTGAAGTGGAATGCTGATGACAGGGTCTCTTTTGTGCATGCGTGCATTTGGCTATATGTGCCTACTTCTAAGATACCTTGGGGTATGGTGATGCATCTCAAAGAGGTCTATTCGACCAAGCTGACGGAGAGGATGCTGAACAAGCTCCCTGACGGTGAGCAGCATGCCGCGACTGTTGGATATGGTTAAGACCGTAGGTATCCGGGACCGAGTCCTTCACAGTACTGCTTGGGTCAAACTGATGCCTACTAAGAGCAACAGCATGGTTTGAGCTGACACCTTCGCTCCGCTGGAATTGATCCTTATTTTCAGATGTCTACTTGGTTGAGAGGAGTGGTACGGTGGATTAACCCGGACTCTTGGGCGGCAGTAGTCATTCAACGAGCGGTTCGGCCCTGGTTGATGGCAAAGCAACCGAGATTGTGAGAGGAGTGGTATCATTCTTCGAGAAGTGGACCTGTTTTTATCAGACCATGCCCGTTTGAAGATACGCAATCGATTGCTGATAATTATGTGGTGTATTTAGAGAAGGAATCAGACAGAGGAACTCGCTGGTAGAGATGAACGTATGACACTTTCGCTCGTTAACATTTTATGGTCAAGATCTTGTCATAGTGACCTGATGGGTACAGTGTCTTCCTTTCATTCAAAGGATAATGGGTTCAACTCTTCCTCCATCACATCCACTTTTCGAACCCTCTTTCTGTGGCATCCCTACCACACCAATCGCAACTCTTATCAGGACTCCCTACTGGTATCGAATCTTCCACACAGAGAGCAACCGCGGCGATGACGGAGGTCTCATGTACTTCCTTGCATGTTGGAAGACAAGAGAGGAGGCCTTTCATCGAGACCTGAGCTCCCCTGTCGAAGTCATCCCAGTAGCATTACTCTCCCACTCGAACATCGTCCCTCTTCGTCCGTCAACAGTTACTCTCCGTCAATCGAGTACACCTACCGCCGAGGCATTCTAGTCGATCCACATTCAATCTATCAGAGTCGCTCGTGTTCATAATCCGCTATAAGCGTCGAGGAGAGTTCATCAGTCGCCGTTTGCGAGCATCTACAGCGGCCGAGCTCGACTTTGCCGCGGGGGAGTTGAAGAGGGCGATTAGGGCTGCTCGGGCAGAGAGAGATCTTTAATGCATGGTATCATGTTCGAAGGGTGTTCATTGACACATTCATGATGGTTATCTTGAGTTGTGTAGTGGGAAGGAAGAGACGGTGGACCATGACTTTAGCGCTACGCTGTGGGGTTGATGCAGCTACCGCTAAACGGTTGGAGCGATTTGACTACGATTTTTTGAACTGTGAATTGTTTCAAAGAGTGATGGATTTGGAAGAGTCGACTGTACGGCTCACAAGGTGGTTGCATAGCTCCTTATAAGAGTTAAGTTTAGTTGGCCTTTGCTGTTGGCAAAGTGGTTATCGATTGGATGGGCGCGCGCAGAATGAAGACTAAAATGCTGAGCCTGACTCTTAAGCTCGCTGTTGCTGCTGCTGATGAGATTAGCATCATTGTTGTAGTGTATTGAAGCGCGTCGACATGTCCTCTTCCACGATTCAACCCTACCTTATTCTGGCTTGCTCCTCGGCTGACGAGCCCAAGGAGCTCATTCACACCGTTTTGCAGTCTAGAGTGTGTGAGAAGAACAAGTATTGTGATGCTGTTTACAAGTAATGGGAAGAGGGCATTGCGGTGTTCTGTGGCGTGTGGGAAGTTTATGCAACTTTTACTAGTATGATTGTTCTCAAGTGTTTACCTTGTTTTCTATTAGGTTCGACGTTCCTGAGAACCTCAAGTTCGGCTCCTTCGATTCCCTCATTAGATTGGTGGACGACCTTTCCAAACAAGATTCTCAAGTTGGTCATTATCATACCACTCCTCTCACTACTGTCTTTCCATAGGTTGAGGCTGTCCTTCGCCGTATCGAGAGGCAGCTGCTCGAGCTTGACCCCAACACTGAGTTCAAGGTCGTCTCTCAGAGGGCTTCACTATCAGCAGAGGAGTACATCTCCAAATTCCACTGGGATGACGCCAAGTTCCCCCGCACCAGGAACATTCAGGACAACCTCAGCCTGTTGTTGACGAGTATTCAGAAGCTCGATGAGGAGGTGAAGTCGAAGAGTCAGGCTTATTCTGATCTCAAGACACAGTACACTCAGATGAGCAAAAAGGTAGGGCACGATTTGTCCATTGTCATCATCATCGTCTTTGATGACGTGCTTCCCCTCAGGAGTCTGGTTCATACGCTCAGCGAGATCTGACTGATGTTATTACCCCTAAGAGTGTTCGTGAGGGTGACTTCGTCGAGACCGAGCATCTCACTACTGTTGTTGTTGTGGTGCCTCGTGGCCAAGACCAGGACTTTTTGAGCAAATACGAGGCTGCTGCTGCCAAGGTCGTCCCTCAGTCGGCTTCTCCTTTGAACCTCCCTGCTGATAAGGATGGTGCTAAGCTGTACAGAGTAGTCGTCTTCAAGAGCTGCGTCGAGGAGTTCGCCAACAACATGCGACATGCTCGTTTCAATTGCCGTGACTTCACTTATGATGCCAGCAAGTACGAGGAGCTACAGAATGCTAAGGCCCATATGGAGAGTGAGGTGAAGAAGCAAGAGGCTTTCCTCAAGAGGTAATGAAAAGGACATGTTCGAGCTTCGCTCCGCTAAATTCATTATATGATGTCTTCAGGGTATGTGCTGCTGCGTTCTCTGATACCCTCGTTGGTTGGATTCACTTGAAGGCTATGCGAACCTTCGTCGAAGCTGTCCTCCGTTTCGGAGTTCCCCCTAACTTTGCTGCGTTCATCGCGGTGGTTGGAAAGAAGTCACAAGCCAAGCCAGTGAAGCTGCGTGCTGAGCTTATGGACGTCTTCTCCAGCAGTGGTCTATTTGGTAAGAACTACCTCTCTGGTGCCAAGGCCGAGAAACAACAGGGAAGCGCTGCTACTGATGTAGGTGAACGGGTGATGAATGATAATGATGATGATGTTGTGTGTGTTTTAGGAGGAGGGTAGTGGTGAATATTATCCTTATGTCTCTCTGAGCTTCGCTCCGCTGCTTTCCATCAAGGCGGGCAGTGCCTAAGGCACTGCAATCTCCTCTGGTCGGTGTCGTAGCAGCTCCCAGTTGGTATAAGTCTCAGATTGATTTCTCATCGGCAACAGATTGAGTGGATGATGTGCGTTGAGGAGATTGTAAGAAATAGAGATTATTCCCTTTATTGCTAGGATCAACAGCAACGCCTTAGTGGTTGTTGACTGGTCTCTCATTGTCATTATCGCTCGGTCGTTGCTGTATCTACTGGTCCGACCAGGGCCCATTCTTCTACTATGTCGAGTTGTTGCGAGGTTCTATCCTGAGGGCGTCGTTATCATCATTACGGTTGTTGATGATGCTATCAAGTTTCTTCAAAGAGTCTATCATTACTGATACATTTCCTGTTCCGTGTGGACTCTAGTAGCTCTCTGTTGAGTTGTTGAATATCAATCGTAGGAGGGGTGGTAGAACAAAGGAAGGAGAAGAGGGTCTCCTCTACGTATTAATGGAAGTGGCTTTGGCGCGGCGTCTTCGCATGGCTTTGAGGTGGCGAGTAGTGTTTTGTAGCTGACGAGACGAGGTGGTGAAGTACAAAATCGCGGTGGGAGAGATGAGGATGACACTGATGCGATCAACGCTGTTGGAGGCATGGAGGTAAGGATCTTCACTGATGAATGCGAGTGTTTGACATGTTGACAATTGAGATAAATATTTGCGACCCTGGAGTGATGGTGGTTGTGATAAAAATCATTAGGGATTGCTTATTGTCAGTATCTGTGCGCAGCGCGGAGATTTTTTCAAATCCCCATTCCATCGGAAGTGTCGCTTCAATCTGGTGTTGATCCCCCGATCGGTTTGGGATGTGTGTAGAATAACAAAATTACCATGGTGCAGGATGGCACACAAGTGGTGTCCATCATGAGCAAGCTGAATAGATGTTGCAGTAGATGTTTCCGCTGCTGATCGAGTGCCAAACATTTGCTGCCGAGCAAATGTCATAGATATTTCGCGCGCCACGAAATTGATTTGATCAGCTGCTCTCGATTCCAGCGCCGTTAGAGCGCTCTGAAAAGAACTATGAGATCGACGAGGAGATCGGCTGTGAGATTCGTGTAGAATTCAAGGCCGAGCAGGAGGGCGACGCGAATGTGCTGTACTATCGTCCCTGGCTACCACTGGGAATCATCGCTTTGCGTTAGTGGATGGGGGAGTTCTCACGGAGCCTGTTTACAAGCCAGAGCAAGGCGATGGTGACACGATAGAGGCTCTGTGGATGTAGCGTGTGGCATTTGGTTGGGGTATTTGGAGGAGAGTCGGAAACAGTTGTAGTTGCTGTGTGGATGACTGTAGCTTCCATCGAGGCTCACCAACCGACCCAGTTTGTATCTCTCAACCCGATTGAGAATCTGCTGAACATGATGACTAAATACGCACTCGAGAGCGCCAAGGTTACGCATGAGTTGGTCATGAAGGTGACATGTGGGGTCTGGCATGTCTTGGTGGACCTTATTCGTCCAATCAGACAAGGAATGGCCATGAGATTTCAAGTCACTCGGAACATGGCTATAGTGGGGACCGGCTCCAATGGGACAAGCTGAATCCTGAGAGAGGAGAACCTGTTGGAGCTCTACCGCTCAGAGCTGCAAAAGTTCACCGGAGGCCGGTGGGCAGTCGAGCACGGTAAAGGTCATTGGTATTGCAAGGATCAGATCCAGCGTGTTGTGGTGGTGGACCCAGCAAGTGTGGGTGGCCAGATCCATGCCTGTCACATCACGGACCGCCCCGACGATGAGACCAGCTCGTGGTGGACGCGATGGAGGCTTCCGGTGGATAGGAGGTTTTCACATTGGGGGGAAGGATGGTCATTAGATACCGTCGAATGAAGTCACTTTCCATCATCATAAGGTTAGGGATGTAGCAGATATTTGGAATAAGGAAGCGACTCCCCTCAGACGACATTATGAGTGAGGAGTTGAGTCTTGACATTGATTGTATCGTGCTTGGTTCGACATTAGATTCCCGGCTGATGATCCTCTCGAGGGGTGGAATGGTGTTGATTTACTCTGGCCTATTGATGCCCGCACACATGATGATGTACTTGATGCTTTCATATACTTCGAGATGAGTCTCGAGTTGTTGAGGAAAACAAACGACTGTCGTCTGCGGCCTGTAAAGGTATGTTTAGCAGTAAGTGCTTGGCAATAGAGGGGGCTCATCTGTGAGCTGCGATCTCTGTTATCATCCGATCAATCCTTGGTGATTTAGGAAAGTCCAACTTAACTGAGCTGATTATCACTTATAATTTATCAGTGTGTGATCACAGCAAATTAGAGTAGAAGTAGCTCACCACTGAGCCAGCGAATTGAAGCGAATTGTACAACTCGGAAGCATGTCGTTCCATATTTATCTAACGGCTTGGCCCCTGCAGAGCATTCCCGCCGGTATGAGAGGCCTCGCCTGGAAGTGTGGGACCCAGCTGTTAAGACTTTAGATTGTCCCCCTAGGAGACAATGCATCTAGATGCCTAGTGCTGTTTGTCACTAAGGCTAGGGAGTAACGCGGGCAGAGGAAAGACAGCGTGTCCGAGTGGTTAAGGAGGTGGACTTGAAATCCATTGGGCTCTGCTCGCGCAGGTTCGAATCCTGCCGCTGTCGCATACAAATTTTGAGAACTCTCTTTCAACTATTCACAGCTCCCTATTATGCTTTGAATATCTATCTGCCCATCTAGCCTTGTCAAATGAGATACCCCGACATTCGGGCCCGGAAACTTCCTTGCTACCGATGAATCTCTCCGAATTTCCTCTCGTCTCAACATTCCTATCATTAACCGTCTAACCTACCGCTGTTTTTACAAGCATGGCCGCTGCGCTCGTAAATCACCATGGATTCCTAAAAATCGGCCACATGAGTTATTCTGCGTGCGTCTGCAATCCGGTGACGCTTGGACTATCAAGTTCTAGTGAATGGAAAGATTTTCATCTGTAATCTTGGGGAAGCACATCTAAACGGCTAGACTGCCAACTGTTACGTAGATAGCGTGTTCGAGTGGTTAAGGAGGTGGACTCGAAATTCACTGGGCTCTGCCCGCGCAGGTTCGAATCCTGCCGCTGTCGGATACACAACCTTGAGAACCCTCTCTCAACCATTCACACCTCCCTATTGTGTTTGAGACATCAGTCTGCCCATCTAGTCTCATCAGCTGGAGTGCCCCCAAGTTTTGGGACTCAAAGCTTCCTCCCTTTCAATGGATGTCTCCGAATTTCCTCTCGTCTCAACATTCCCATCATTAACCGTCTAACCTACCGCTGTTTTTACAAGCATGGCCGCTGCGCTCGTAAATCACCATGGATTCCGCCACAAAGATGGCCACATACGGTATTCTTCCTTCGTCTGCAATCCGGTGACACTTGGACTATCAAATTCTAGTGAATAGAAGGATGTTCATGTGTAACCTTAGGGAAGCACATCTAAACAGCTAGAATGCCGATCGTTTCGTAGACAGCGTGTCCAAGTGGTTAAGGAGGTGGACTTGAAATCCACTGGGCTCTGCCCGCGCAGGTTCGAATCCTGCCGCTGTCGGATACAAGTTGTTGGGAAGCCTCTTTCAACTATTCACAGCTCCCTATTATGCTTTGAATATCTATCTGCCCATCTAGCCTTGTCAAATGAGATACCCCGAAATTCGGGCCCGGAAACTTCCTTGCTACCGATGAATCTCTCCGAGTTTTCTCTCATCTCAATATTTCCAACCGTCTAACCTGCCGCTGTTTTGATAAACATTATATAGGCCTTATATACGCCGCGGGTGGAGTTTTTCGGCGCTGAGGTAGGAATAATGGCTGGACCGAGCCGCTCAGAGTCTCATACGCAATGAACATCGCTGATTTTGATTCTGAAGTCCGTTTTGTTTCTAGAACGATTTTAATGGAGAAATTCAATTTCCAAAAATCTGCGCTCGCTTGTTGTCCTCAGCGCGCGCCCAAGCTCCCACATTACGACTACTGTAAGGCTCATTGAGCCTAGAAACATAAACAACCCTAGATAAATAAGGATGGAATTCTAGTTGCTATCTAATGACTCCGAGCTGGAATCGCTGGAAGATCGCTGATAGAACTAGCTTTGAGTTCGTCTACGCGCTGTGCTTCATCCCATTGGAGGCCTCAGTTGCAAGCAACGACGCAGTCGACGAGCCGCTGAGCGAAAAACTCTGGCAGTAGTTGTGCTACAGGAGGCCTACCATCCTTCACTAAACTTACACAAGCAGATATACTAGAACGGAAACGTAAATTCATTTGCATGATCGGAAACGCTGGCTGCTACCCAGCTAGAGTCGCCCCTCCTCCCTCACGCTGCTCTTTCAGCATCAACATGAGGTCACCCTCTTGGTCGAACCCATGAGCAAGGAACGACTCGATGAGGAGATGGCAAGTACGCTTTGAACGGCCCAACTCCACCACTCTAGCTGGGGTCGTCATCAGAGACCTATAACACACTTCCCACTGGCCCTTCACCAATGTTGGACTAGGAATACAAGCTCGCTTTCTTAAGCTAAGCTCATACAGAAATTCTGGTACAATCATTTTATGCAACCACCAGCAAATTTCCTCAGAATTTCGTCATGTGTATATCCCCCCCCCACACTGACCCGTACCTCGCTATAGTGTCCATAACAGCTTTGTCCAGATGGGCCGTATTAACCATAGCCTCCACGAACTTGGCGATAGTGCTCATCTCTAGCGTTGCTGCTGACTCTACTATTAACGGCGAATACGATTGCAATAATTTCCGTATTGATTCCATCAGGGATGGTGGAACTGTGAGGAATCTGAGGTTCAACAAAGTGTGATACAAAACTACCTATGTCCCGAGACTTGGAGGTGTTCATCACGATAGTTGTAGCGCAATACGCAGCGTTACAAGCGACTTCAGCGTCACATTTCTCAGCAGTTGTGATGAGTCGAGAGACCATCACAGCGAGGTCGCTGTGGCCGAAGGGGATCCTCCATCGCGCATACACTTGAAGGAGGCCTCCAACCTCCGAGGCCAAAAATAGCGGAGCGGAGCTGACCGCTGAAAACCTCAAACGCTCGAAAATGGACGAATCGAGCAGAGCAATGTCCGAAACGCTGGTCAGCGACTCCCGTACTTGTCCGAAGGCAAACGCCACGTTGACCTAAACATATTCAATTCCGTATTTTCCACCCTGGATGCTCCTACCAGCTCCGCTGGTGCCATAAACATGAGCTTATCCCTCGCACATGCCAGACTAGATTCCAGGAGCTCCTTAGGAGGACTAATAACCCCACCACTATCACTGGTGTATGCCAAGACCAGTCGGGCCAACTCCATAGGAGTCGCCTCTCCCAAGGTCGCCAATGCTCGACCTGCTATCATCTCCATTGTAGATGTGAGGGGAAGGAGACCCTCAAGCTGCTTACCATCCTCAGTGGCATCCTAAAAAAATATACTCAAAAGTTCACACACGAATTCGGGTAGGAGTATACAAAAACCGCCAAAAAATTTTTCTAGATTTCCTCAAAATTCCCATGTTGTCAAACGTAGTTGACCAAATGCATATCATCTCGAAAAAGCTCTCATGTTTTTCCTCCCAACCCGTGTATGACCTCTCGCCCTTTTTTCTGACCACTCCCCTCAGCAACAGTATGGTGTTTAACGACCCTGGCCAGTGCACTAGCAATAACGCTGAGGTCCCTCACGTGGAAGGGCTCTTGGGACATCCTCGTTTGGATATGCTTACACCACCGAGTAAAGAGCTCCAAATCCACCACGCCCAGTTTAGTCATCGCATTCAGCGACATACATATCTCTACGGGGCTGTGGAATTCATGGACTCTAGCCGCGACCTCTCGCGAGAGGGCATTCAAAAACGACTCCTAAGAGCACCGAATCTACTGCCAACTCCAACTTTACCATCCTACTTGCATCTGCACACCTGTCTTAGCATAGGCGCTGAATACCATAGCGAGATGAACTGATGTGAAATACAACAGTTTGGCCTCTACCACGGGGGCCAACGTATCGAACAGTTGCTGGTCGGCTATGCGGACCCTCGAGAAAGCATTGAGGAGAAGGGCACAGTCCCTAGGCTCCATCGCGGGAGCGATAGCGAGGGCTCTATCTCTCAGCTGTTGCCAATACGGAGAGGTGCTTTTTATCCGATCTCGCACTGCAGTGTTAGCCGCATGACCCAAGCCCTCTGCATCGAGAGTAGAAGGAGGGGGCAGGTCGGACGTGAGGGGCCCACCAAACTTGGCGAGGGGCCTCCATGAGGCGACGGGCTGAGGGGTAGGGTGGACGTACTGAGAGAGGGCCTAGCGGCGAGTGGTAGTAGTAGTAGCCTTACTTGCTTTCCCAGGGGGTTACCGAAGTGGGAATTGGTGGAAGTGTGGGAGATTTGCTTTAGCGCTGTCCCTCGAAAGGTTGGTAGAACCTTACGGGCTGGCATAGGGAATATACACGATACTGTTGAGAGAAATTACTAACGTTGAACGCGATAGCCCCAGAGGGTCGTTAGAGTTGGCGAGATTGACCTCGGGAGTAATGATGCTTCACGGAGCATCGTATAATAACAACAGCAAATGTCGTTGAGTGACTACACTACTTTACTGAGCGGCGCCGTAGCGGTCGAACCAAAGCTAATACGTACAGGCTGGCACTGGTGATTTATGTCAACTCTGACCTGGTCCATGCTCTGTAGCTTAAATAGTGTCAAGAGGGCCTCGGAGTCGGCGAAGGGTCGAAGGCCAAACCACGACTGACCCGAGACGAACTCGTAGTAGATGTTACTGTAGCTAAAGGAGGTGCCAGCGTAGGAACCTGGGAGAGAGACTGTACTCTCCTTGGGAATATATGTTCGCTTTCTTCAGCTGAGCTCAGAAGTTTCCTCAACAGATATAAAAATCTACATACGAATTCGGGTGAAAGTTGACAAAAATCAACAAAAATTTCCCCGAAAAATCTTCAGAATTTTCCTATAAATGCCAGTACATGTGGTTGACCATGTGCATATTATCCCACACTATTTCAGTGATGAACGAGGAAGATTCTTACCCAGATATTTTTCGAACCACATTTACCGAAAAAATCACAAAATCGCGAAAATTTCCGGAAAATTCTCATAAATTTTTCCTTTTACTCTTTTCGAGACTATAGCCACTCAAGGGTAGGAGACTCACCAGCCATAACGCCGATCTTCTTGGGCTGGGCGAACTGCAGGGAGATCTCTTGGGTGCTGCTGCTCCCGTCGAAGGCGCCTCGATAGGTACCAACGATTGCAGGGGTAGAGGCATCGCACGTGTAAGGAGTATCTTAGGTTGAGGATGGTAAGATACGGATGAGGCCCAAACATGACCCTCCTAGTACCGCTAGTTGGTATTGTTGTTGTATATGCAGGGGGTGATTTGGAAGTAGGGGTGACTGGTCTAAAGCTGTTCGTACGGGTCGAGGAACACCCTTGGAAGGAAAAAAGGAGGAGGACCAATGAGGAGATGATGATGACCAACCTGGCCATCACCATTGGAGTTAGTAATGTTAATGTAACTGTTATAAGCATCAAATAATACGCAAACCACTAACCTCTGAGCTGCTAATTATAAAAATGGCAAACATGTATCGCTTCGCTCCGCCTATTTCTTTGAGAAGCTTCGCTCCGCCTATTTGAGAGCACATTTTGTGAACTACTACTACCAATGGTGATGATGCTGTTCTGAAGTCTTCGTCAATGCCCACTACCTGCACGAGGGCCATCACCACTACTTGGCCATCCATCCCTTACCTACATCATACCACTCCTTCCGTAATTATACCCGAAATCAACCTTACCCCCCGACGCCTCCAAGCCCTAGGGGGCAGCCTCGTCCTCCTAGGGCTCCTCCTGGCCATCATCACCGTTGTACCCCTCTTGGTGTGGCCCTGCCTACTACTATCCTTCATAGGGACTTGTCTGCTGGCCATGGGGCTGTGGTTCGACTCCTTTGGAGGCACCTCCTCTCTGAGCATTTCTAACACCATTCGGGAGCTCCTCACGGAGAAGACGCCCTTGGAACTACTCGAGGGCCTCCTTAAGAGGAGCACGATGGGGTTTATGATGGCTGGACTAATGTGTAAGAAAATGGGGGTGAAATTTTGACTTTGGAAATTATCAATTTCGTGTATTTTTTCAGCGCTGAAGTTCTTCGATCTGAACGAATTAGAAAGAGCGCGTTTTCTGGCCGGATGTTCCCCTGGCATTCGCCGCTTCCTCACCACTCGAGGGCTGCTTACTCTACTCCCCGAGTGGATGCGAAGTCTCCTCCCTGGAGGCGGCCCTGGACAGCGGAGGGCTCTGATGGTGGATGGCGGTCAACCGATGAGGAGTCAAGGAGAGGATGAGGTCCAGTTGGCCTTGTCTTGTATTAAGAGGCATCCGAGGTAGGTAAGGGAGTATCTTAGGTTCAAGTGTATAAGATTCAAATGAGGTCCAAAAGTGGACACGGGGTAGTTGGTCTATAGGATTTTCTACGTCTTCGGTATCAGTTGGATTTCCACCGCGATCTTGTTTGTATAATTGAAGCTGTAGGAGTTGCATAAAGTTCCCGCGCGCCTCCATTTCGTGCATTGGCTTGCCCTCTACACTAGTGCATCGTGTGATGTCGGCGTGCATGTCTTCTGAAACAAGAACAACCGCAACCCGCACTTTATGGTATAATCGTGCGCGAATCATTCACAGTATGCCTACGACGTCCAGTGGAACGTCCAGGAGGTTTCTTGTCGCCTTGGGGGGGAGGTCACCTCTTAACCTGACGTTTTTATTTTTCCGTCAGTGTCGGTTTGCGGTCGCTGATGCTTGTTCGCAGCACTGAGGGACGCGATACGAGGGGAGTGGAAATTAGGACAAAACGAACTTGAGCCCGATGGCCAACATCCTGACAATAATCGTTCAAACTCGCAGTAGAGAGATAAATCGTTCCCGCGGTATTTACTGTGGCGGAATTTTTCACCCATTTGACACACTCTCCAGCGTTTATACTCACTCTTCGGAAAAAGTGTATAAGTTTTACCTTGATAGCGTATCTTCATCGCGGTAACCTAAGATTCGTTTATCATTGGTCTTCAGATCGCTGACCCCACGGCTCCGATTACGAGTGTCCGCCCTATGCCGACAGATCCTCCACGGTGACGCCCCCCTCCACCACCCTCCTGTCACCCAACCTGCTCAAGCTTTGGCATGGCTGGCGTGGGATAAGTGTAGAGGACTGTCTAAGCAGGAAGCGCGCGCCCAGATGATCGATATCTTAATGAGGTTTGATGATGATTTTGCTAATATCAGTTATCAACGGGAGCGACATCATGGTGGGAAAGTACCCACGGCAGCTTTGGTGGAAGTTGACCGATTTGGCAAACCAAAAATTTTCCCGATTGTCGCTAGCATTGTTGAGAGGTATTTACGAAGATATGTGTCGGAGTCGTGGGCCCCTTGGTGGCGTAGGAGGCTCATATGGTTATGCGCAGTGTTGTTGGTATGTAGCCTCTTGATGAGGGCATCACCGAGGGTCCGAAGACTCTATGATAGAGCCCCTAAGGCGGTCCTTGCGCTATCTAGTGCATTGGTGTATCTACTCTCGATACAGTATGGGGTGCCCGAATGGGTTTTCGCGATATGCCCTGATTATGCATTGACGGCCATGGGGGGAGGGAAAGGGCCGAGGGGTGGCTGGCGGAGGATCTTCGACGTCTTTGCTAATGAGGCCCTACCCTTCGTACGGGAAGAGGAAGGTGATGCATAACGCGGTAACGTATTTGTTAATATTGCCAATTTTTAACAAGGATGCTGATTGAGGTGCTTTTGAGTTTATAATAAAGTGATGGAGGAGTTGAAATACTCAGTAGAATATTTTCTATGTCGGTTGGAGATCGATCGACGCATGGTCCTGGTCGAGTGGGAGGGTGTTGAAGTGTATATGTTTGGTATTATCAGCTGAGGTGGAGAATTGGCAGAATTTTGAAATTTGTTGTTTTGAGTTTCAGAAGGTACAGTGTGAAAATTCACACACGTTTGGGATAGGAGTGTACAGCAACCGACGGAAAAATCCCGAAATTTCCTCAGAATTTTTTCGCTGTCGTCAACACGTGTAGTGCAAAATTTTCCCTCACTGGTGACAGATGGTTTTGGTGCTGTCACCCGACACCGGTAGCCAAGGGTACTCGTAACCAAACACAGGGGAATTAAGTGTAGGGAGGAGAGGCAAAGGGAACCACCGTATAGCTAATGAGGTGCACGCATACACATGTGCGTGACTGCGAAGCCGTCTCCTTAATAGACTACATAGACTACACGCTAAGACCAAGACGTAGTCGTCGTAGTTACAGTCAGTTCATGAAAGATTGAGAATAATGCTGAAAGATACATTTATCGATGAGTCATCAGACTTCAGAGATATACGACACGTTGTTGGTCAAACTGTGGAGTTTACATGGGATGGGAATCTAACAGTTTCATTCTCATACGAGTTGATTAGCGCGCGCCCGAGCATAAGGAAGGATTCCTATGACAGCACCGTTGGAGGAGGGGACGTATTTTCTACTGGTCTCGGCGGAGCGAAGTTTTTTTTGTGTTGGAGTTTTTGGAAGGTACTTCAATTTTTAGTTTTATCCTTTTTCATGTCGCCATTGATCAGCAGCGTCGCCACGCCCCCTGCCCCTACTACTAAGTCGATGAGCACCTTCCCGCAGTATAACGGTCTCCAGAAGTGCCCCTGGAAACCTGGTGATGGTCTCGAGGGCTGTCCACATAGGACATTCGGTCGTACCTCCAAGTCGTCGGCTGCTGGGAGTGGCAATGTGGTGAACAGCGCGTTGGAGTTGGTGGGAAGCACGCCTATGGTGAAGTTAGAACGAATTATGAAGGAATTTGATCTACCATGTAGGGGGAGGGGCCCTACTGTATGAGGTTGTAGTTAGTGATGTTATGTTTATAGTGAATTGATGAAATATTTAGTGACAGAGTCTGGGTGCGTCTACTCGGTGATGTTTAGGTGAGCTGTGGGCTAAGGCTGAGTACTTCAACCCAGGGGGTAGTGTCAAGGATAGGATCGCCCTGAGGATGATAGAGGCAGCTGAGGAGGAGGGCAGAGTAGGGCTCGTGCTGTGCATTATGTGTGCATACCATCCTTCTTTCAGATCAGACCAGGGGATACCCTCATCGAGCCTACTAGTGGTAACACTGGTACGGGTCTGTGTCTGGCGGCCGCCATAAAGGTGGGGTTGTTCGTTGTCGTCTCGGTCGGTGGAGGTGGTCGTCTCCTTAGGGGTACAAAATGGTCGTCACAATGCCGGAGAAAATGAGTGGAGAGAAGGTAAATATGATGAAGTGCCTGGGCGCTGAGATACTACGTAAGGCTGAGCTGATCACTCGTGATTTGACGGATTTACGGTAGGGACCCCTAATGAGGCGGCGTGGAACACCCCGGAATCTCACATAGGCTTGGCTATCAAATTGCAGAGGGAAATTCCCCGTAGTCATATACTGGATCAGGTAGGTGAGAGTTGACGGAAGTGTGGTATGTACTTGTTAGTATTTGAACCCTGCTAACCCGATGGCACACTACGAGGGGACGGGCGCGGAGATTATCGAGCAGTGTGATGGGAAGGTGGACGTGTGGGTTAAACGCTGCTGCATGGGTTGGGGTGATTGTGGAGCTTTAGGATGGTCCTGGGCGCGGGCACTGGGGGTACCATAACGGGAGTTGCGAGGAAGCTGAAGGACGTCCTCGGGGATCAATGTGAGGCCTGTGCTAATGTGACGGAGGTATGGTATGGTTTTGTTGTTAAGGTTTGGTCGTTGGAGTAGATCCAGTGGGGTCGATTTTGGCAGTGCCAGACTCGCTGAACGACCCGGGCAGATTGGAGGGATATCAGGTGGAAGGCATTGGTTATGATTTCATACCTACAGTGAGCTCAGATGCCGCCACCAGGGATCGAACCTGGATCGTTTGCATAGGTGCTCGACAGAGATCCCACTGTGATAGATGAGTGGATGAAGGTTGGCGATCCCGAAGCCCTAGCCATGGCCAGGAAGCTCATCCGACTGGAAGGTCTAACCGTTGGGGGAAGCTCGGGGACATGCGTGGCTGCTGCGGTGAGTATAACACCATCGAGCTCCCACTGAAGCCTCCCTCTAGGTCCGCTATATAAAGTCGAAGTCACCGGAGGAAATGGTTGGCAAAAGGGTCGTGGCGTTGCTACCCGACTCCTCTCGAAATTACATGTCTAAGGTGGGCCGCATTAAACCTTAAGAGAAGTGGAGTTGTGGATCAGTTCCTGGATGATGGTTGGATGTTGTCCCACGGCTTCATCTCAATGGAGGAGCATCCCGGGTGGGGTGGGAGGCTGCTGCTGCTGGCGCCCTCGAATTGACTTTATGTGCATCTTACAGTTACTCTAATTATAAACAGAAGCGTTGGGGAGGATTATCATTGAAGGAGTCGGGAATTGTTTTTGGGAAAATTTTAACCCTGAGCCCGTCTCTCTCGGCATTCGAGGGAATTAGGATGATTAAATCAGCTGCTCAGGAGGACCCTACCTATTCAGCAGAGGTGAGTTTATTTTCGTCCTGTTGACGAAATTGCGGGTCGTATGTGAACGGCGGTTTCGCTACGAGAATCTTTGCGCACAGCGAAGAATTTTTATCGCTTCAGGTTGCTATGCTTAGCAGTGGACAGGACATGGTGACGATGAAGAATCTGTATACACGTGTGACGGCTGCTGAAGACCCCAAGACTCTCACTTTGGAGAAGTGCAAGTAGGACGAGATGAATTTCGTGGCGCGCGACATTTTTTGTTCAGGGTTAAACCGAGTCCTCCCCTGAGTGTGTCGATGGATGCCTCTCTTGCCGAAGTTGCCATCAAGCTCGAGGTCCAATCCTACGTCCCGGTCCTCGTTGGGGAGGAGGTCTGTGGGGTCATCGATAGTGGAACCTTCCTTCACTTTTTGGCTACCTCGGTATGAGTTGACGTAGATAATTTTTTTATCATATGTTTCATGGTTTATACTAATTGTTGAGTTCCATTGAGGATGTTTATCTGCATCGAAAGGGGATCTCCAGCGAGTGGAATACGTATACTGGGGAGATTCAGTTTTAGGCGACTCCGTTAATGTTGATGGTGAGGTCTCAATGCTTTAAGAATTTTCCTATCCTTGCATATAGGGTGGTAAGCATCCTTTTCTAACATAGAAGAGGCTGGATCAGGAAAAGGTGCCGCTGCGCCCTATATGGAGAAGCACTCCGTGAGAGAATCTTCCATCATACTCTTGTTTGCCGCGTTGGTTTCAACCGTGATGTCCGTTGTGCCGCTGCTTCGTAGCATAGTGAGGGCCTGTTGGTGCACAGTCAAACGGTTTCTATTAGGATACTATCGAGCTCATTTGTGACATCCCTGTTAACGCGTACATTGGTGGCATCTTGTGGTGTATTAGATGGTTACCTTGGCCTATTGTTCATGATGTCTATTCGAACAGCATCTGAATGTGATGGGAAGAGAAGATTTACATTGTGATGGCAACAGTATTGTTGTGTTCGTTGGTGGTCTTTACTCAGTGATGGTCAATGATAATCTGATGAACTATACCTCTATACTAGCTAGTACTCCCCTGGTCGGATGGGTGCTGCACAAGAAGACGAGGGAGAAAGAAAAAGATAATCTGATAGCAGCGTTACAAGATGCCCACACCACCCTCGAGGAAACTGTTCATTTTCATGGCTAAAATGCTTGTTCACTATAGTATGCAAATCCAGGAAGAAATATTGACAAACTCAATGAGAGTAAACTGAAACGTTTCGGATTTTTTCACTCAATCTTAATCGTTTGGATGTGTATCTCTTCCCGAGGTCTATCTTCCGCATCAGTTCTCACCCCCTCTATTTTATGAACCTGATATACTCCAAATTTACCATCCCTTCCACCCATCTGCTCCCCTTTACTACCACATCCTGACCAGCAGTCACTTTTCCAAATACAGTATGCTTATTGTCAAGGAATGGACAAGGCACCTGATAGGAACACATGGTGACACCGAAGCCTCGTATCACCACCATCTCACAGTAGTAATGAAGAACTGCGAGCCGTTTGTGTTGGGCCCCGCATTAGCCATTGACACCATATAGGGTTGTGAATGGTCCAACTCGGGCACCTGATAGTAGAGGTCGATCGAAAAGCTAGCGTTATTTGGTTTACGAATTCATCTTCAAAGTCGCCGCCCCAAATGCTGCTGCCACCCATTCCGGTGCCTTCAGGATCGCCTGTTTGTATCATGAACTTATTGATAACCTGATCGACAGAGGTCCCGGGTTCGATTCCCACACCCTGCAATATTATTACCCTATGAAACACTACATCGTCATAATAACCATCCTGTGCGTGCTTTGAGAAGTTCTCCACCGTTTTCGGCACCAACTTGCCATAGAGTTCAATTTGGATGTCACCAAAGTCCGTATGAATAATAGCCTTTTTACCAATCCTGAACAACACCCTTCTACCCCCTCCTCCACCGCCGTGAACCTACTTGATCTGAGGCTTCCTATCACCGGCAGCAGCGGCAGCAGCAGCGGACATCTCATCGGCTGTTGGCTTCTCATTGAAGATATCACGTTGCTGACCGGCTCCAGTGTCGGTCGGAAGGCGCTTCGTGAAGAGATAAAACCTCTTCTTTTTAAAACTAACGATAAAGGGGCAGCTGAGCTCAGGAATATCTCCATTGATTGCAAAATTTCGCATACGGGTAGAAGTATTCGGAAACCAACGAAAATGACCCCAAGAGTTTCCTCATTGTCACCAACACGTCTAACAGTGTGGGGTGTCGACACAGACCGGTTATTCGCCGCTCAACTGCTACTACTACCTGGAGGCCACTAGAGTCGGGTCAGTGACGTATTCATATGCTCCAGCCTTGGCAGCTGCAATGTTGTCCTCTCCTCCAGGATTCACCTTCTGCCGCACAGGCTTCGGCTGGAGTCTGATAAACGACCAACACTCGAGAGGAGATTCCTCAACAGAGATGTTACAATGCAGTGGCGAGGAACCTCTCGCTGGACTCGACTTTACCTAGTAGAGCCGACAAATGATTAGTGACCAGATTAACGATCTGAAGAGGAGGACCATGTTCAACCTACCTAAAGATACTATCACAGATTCTACCTTGATGCCAACCATCGTCGGGTAGATTATGAAATTTCCCGACTGATCGAAATCAATTGTTTGATACATCGCATCGGGGGATTTCAGCAACTCCTTTTCAACAGCGCAGCGACGGCCGAAATCAAATCTATATGAATCTATTCACTCACAATGAAGACCTCTACTACTACTACCCATCCAGATGGACTTGCTTCATTAGAGGATCCGACTGAGCGATGCTGGTCGCGTCGAGAGACTCATCGAAAGCCTTGAAGAGCTTGCCGGTTCTAAAGGGTAGAGTAGGAGGATGTGGTGACAGCGGTGGGGTGATACCTAGTTCTGAAGACCCTAACCTGAGAGTCTTTGCCGAGGACAGCGAAGAGCTCTCCATTGGGAGATATGGACAGGTCGAAGGCAGTAGTCTGAAGAGGACGAGAATAGATCGTTGAGAAATTGGCGAGGGAGCGGTATTTAATTTTCGCTACGAGTTAAAGCACGTACGCTAGAAAAATAAAGATACTACTACCTCTGCGGTTTTGAGGTCGAATAGGCTTGTGTCGAACTTGGAAGTGAAGGAAACACTTTCGGGCAGCTGTAGGGTAATCGGGTCCCAAATATCGATGAGACCACCAGTGTCAATCGACACCACCAACTTCAGTTTATCGTTGTATCTTGGAATAGGTCCCGGGTTCGAATCCTAGTGACGGCATCGTTATTACTTTATGTGTTGCACTGGGTCGAGGTGGGCCGTATACGTCTTCGGTTTAGCCTTGGGGTTGCCTAATTTCGATATCGGCCAGATTTCAATTTTACCTGAAAATATGCAACCCGTCCATTGTCAATTTAATAGATGTATCTCTCACTGTTTGCCGTGTTAGATACGGCTAGGGTCGGCGAGGGCGAATCGGCCTCGTGGATAAAACAGCAGGAAAGAGGATCGAATGTCGAGAATTTGTGCATCATAACCATGTTGAAACCGGCGACATCAAACACTTTCACACATCTAAAGAGAGTATCTTTCCCCTCTGTAGGACGCCCGGTCAACCTAAAGATACTCTCTTACTTATCCAGTTTGCCTAGTGTGGCGAATTCCATTCCGGAAGCACTGATGGTGGCACACGCTATCGGTCCTTTGTGAGCTGCGTAGTGCTTTACGAATTCAACCTGAGGCGATCGAGCGTATCTTTTCATCCGTCGGAACCTCGCTGGACCCAAAGATTCCCCTACCCCTATTTTCCGCTTTTTCCAAAACTTAACATGACCATCAGTCGAGCACGTTATGATGAACTCCTGCGACTTCGACACGACCACGTGCGACACCGAAGCCCTACGACACGACTCGGTCACATTGAAGGTTGCGGCCTCTACCTGTGCATGAAACTCCTCTCGTACATCGCCGCACTGGGAAGATTTTCAAGATACTCCTTCTCATGGGCCAATTGTCTGCGTAGTTTCTGCCGCTTCTTTGCTGGTTGGGCGACAGCTGCTGGCTGAGGGGAATTGAGTTTCCAATTTCTTAGGAATAACAGTGGCCTACCATGGGGGCGGGGCCCATCTCGTCCTCCGACGACGAAGAAGAGCTCAGGTCCTCCTCGTCGAGGGGCTCCTTCCTCTTCTCCTGGTCGGGAGATGTCGACATGTCGAGGTTGGTAGAGTTACAAATGTTACTTGGAAATATTCATGAATCGCTTCGCTCCGCCATCAAGTCTAGCGGAGCGAAGCGACTCATATTTGTCATTTTTGACTAGTCGGTTCCAGCTCACGACCACACAGCATTTCCTGAACTCATCATGTCTTACGAGGAGTTACGCCCTAAGCTCGACGCATTCGTCAAGGCTAATAAGGTCGTTCTCTTTATGAAGGGCGATCCGGAAGCCCCTAAATGTGGGTTTAGCAAGAAGGTCGTGGAAACATTGAAAAAGGAGGGTAGGGATGGACGGCAGGAAATTGTGATCGAGAGTCGAGTCAGGTGTGGAGTCGTTCGCCCACATGAATATATTGGCTAATGATATGCTGAGGGAAGGCGTGAAGAAATACTCAGGTAGTATCTGAAACTGTTAGATACTAGGTCGACCCAGGAGGTCAAGGTGATGACCATTCCATTAACAAATAATATTCTTCTCAGATTGGCCAACCTATCCGCAACTGTATATCGATGGCGAATTCGTCGGTGGTTGTGATATTGTCCTTCAAATGGCCGAAGATGGTGAGTAGCTTTCGAATAACTCAATCCGATTCAACTCCGCCCGTCCCTCTCCTTAGGTGAGCTCCATGACCTCCTCCTTGAGAAGGGCATCATAAGCGCCTAATAAAGCACCACTGCCGCTGTTCCTCTCCCATATACTCTGTAGTTGTGTTGAACGAGTTTAGTTGCTGTCTCCTTTTCAGTCATTGTGGCCTCTATCATTGCTAGTCGACACTCTCCCCGCCGTCGATCGCTATTGTGACCCTCTATGTGTCATTAGTGATCTTGCTGCTGGCGGTGACTCTATGAGAGGCACCACCTTGCTCTTCCTTGGAGGACATTCCGGCAGAATCGTCCACCTCGTCCACTATGACATGTGAGATATAATGAGGAACATATTTTTCCTTAATATTCGAAAAATTGCGAATTCGGAAGCTCAACGTTTCTCGGCAAGGATTTGGGCTCTTGCCAAGAACTTCTCGGGTTTAAACCTCAACAAGGCAAAGATAATGTGATGAGCCATCATGCGCTACATGATAGCTCATCACATGACATGTGGTAGAGTGAACTGGTCATAACCGCCACCCTTACTGATCTATGAGGCCGAGCGAGATTATGATACCCCAAGGTTAGGGGGGTCATAATCTCGTTCGTACACGATGGCGCATACTCGGGCGTAATCTCGCTAGGGGCCCTAGCCCAGCTAGGCTAGCCGTGCGAGCTTCTCAAGCAACTCAACAGAACCATTGGCTTCTTCTCAAGAAATGGTTCGAGTTTTATGGTTCACGGCGAAATACGGCCATCCTTATATGCCAAGGCGCGTGTGAGTCGGTACGTGATGACCAATTCGTCGCTCACCAGTCCAACTGAACTGGTGAGCGACAGCACTTCATGATGAAGTCTTCATACAAGGATACAGCTGTGGCGACTTCCAAGATGCCTTTCCTCAGATTCGAGATCGTTGAACTGCTTTCCTCCAGAACATAACTTCCTACAACGGGTCTAGAATATATGAACGGGACAATGGAAGGTTCCACTTGCCCGAATTGCTCCAGTACCGCTCGGTCGGGTTGAGGTAAGGCGAGTTGGGAGGCCATGCCATGAGCCTTTTGCCAGACAGTCCTTTTCTGTCCATGCACTCGCTGGTAAACAGTTCACCGTAACTTGGTAGCTGGCATGGGAGTTGGCTGCTGGCTTAGAAAACGCGAGTCGGAGTAGCCCATAGAGCATTGGGGCTCAATGCTCACGCTCAATGGTTACTAGCGTATGGTGGATTGCTTCACAAAGGTTACTGTAACTCTCATGCGAATTAGCATGACACCCGAGTATACGATCGAGTAGCTTCTTGAAGTCACCAATATATGCTCTGTCGAAATACGTCGAGTGAGAAGGGAGACTAGATATGGCATATCTGATATGCTGGGCAACGAGAGGAAACTAGAGCCTAGCGTGTAACCTAGAAAATACTTTCCGGGTATCTCGGCATATAACTCGCGGGTTACTCTTAGCATCCCATTGCAGTCGCAGGGAGCTCACGATCTTCCCACATGCGGGACCAGTGTACGTAGCCGAAGGTAATTGATGGCTTTCCATTCTAGCATCTATCACCGGGCGGAATGCCGATGATCTATCCGGCGAGGGTAAAGGGAACACTAGTAAGCCATCAACCATCATAGGCTATCCCATCCCAGTTCCTTCTCCCTGTCGTCTCTTCGTGTTGCGCTCCACCGGGGGTTCCTTAAATAGTTGGAAACATTGGCTTCGTACTCAACAGTTCCAGAGTCAGATGAATGAGAAGAATGTCTTTCTCTGGCCCACTCACGCTATCGTCTGGCCCGCGCAGCAGAGTTCCTTGAGCATGTTACTACGTGGTCCAGAATAGACCAGTTGAGCGGGCGGATTCGACGAGCGATCTCGTCCAGAAATCAGCGGATGTGTCGGGTTCTGGTTGTTGAGCTTGACAACTTAGCGCTTTTCCGTATGAACTAGATTGTATATTGGAAATGACCGATTTGGTCAGACCAAATCGCCACAGTTAGTGAGTTGGTGGGACCTGGTGCTACGCCCTAGTCGGTCTCCTTAGTCGACAGGCCGCATGCTGGGAGCATCCTGGAGAGACAAGGGAACGAACGACCCTCCCTGAGTGCTGTTGCATGCAAGAATGGTTTGGGGGCGGAGCTCATGTCTCGAGCTCTCGAGGTTTGTTGAATGGTCTCTAATCCCTCCGTATGGGAGGCGTCCCTCCAAGCATGCTATGACCATCGTCTACGGTTACACAACGTGTGGCGGGCGGCAGTCGGGGCTGCTACTGAGGA